GCAAACGGCGGTGACCCACAGGCTGAGAACCGCTGCTGTACACTATTAACATGGCTGCCCTGTGAGAGGCTGGTATAGGAGACAGCAGAGCCAGGATTCTAATCCAGGGTGGCTCCTTCCTGAACCTATATTCTCTGCCTGTTGTCTGTCCCAGCAGGAACTCATTGCCATACACAGGTCTCCTTTCTGTGCCTCCTTGAAGATCCCTGCGTGCAGATTGGGAGAGTGGTGGGGAGAAGGAGCCCAGGGCTGCCTCTTCTTAGACTCTCTGCTGACGTAGGGGGGGTGGATGGGCAGCTGTGAGTTTAATGGGCAGAGTCTCTGGGAACGGCACCTTTCTCAAGTCTTGAGATTTGATTGAGCCCTTCAGTGATTTGTGGGTTAAGCAGGCATGAACCACTTGCATCCTGACTGGCTGCCCTGCCTGGGTTCCTCTATATGATCTTATTTGATGATTTATATTTCTTGTTCTCTTAATGATGAGGAATAGGTTGGAGAGTAGCATCCTGGCCCTTTGCCTCCTGGGTTCCCTGTCCCCACCTCTGAGCTCTCTGTCTCTGCCAGAGCTAACATTTAGCAGATTGAATGAGCCTTAGCTTTTAGCATAAATTCTGGTTGAGTGTGCAGGGGAAGGAGTCAAAGGGACTTGCGGAGAAGCCCCCAGAACCTCATTCTCAGAAAGTCCCCACTGATAAAGCTGAGGCCTACTGTAAAGAGCTAGGTTTGTGCCACTTCTTTTCCATCTCCATGTGATCCCAGAGGGGAGGCTCCCTGGTCCCCGGGACTGGGTTGAGTCTCCAAGAGCTATAGTGAGGGGATGAAGGGAAGGGGCCACCAAAGTCTGTGCTGGAAGGGAAAACTTCAGTATCCCAAGCTTGAATTTTTCAGACTGCCTACTTGAGACAATTGCTCAAGTTACCACAGAAACACAGGCAAGAACATGGGCTCCTGACTGATGTTCCTGTGGGACTTAGCGTAGACACGTGGGCCTGCAGATCCTGAGTCTCCTGGGATAGCCTGGGAACTTCTGTAGATTAGTGGATAGCTTGGAAACTCTGGTCCTGGGATTTCTGAGCACAGGTTTTGACCTTTGTTGTTGTAAATAAAAATGGCTGTTGGGCTATCGGATAATTATTATTAGCCCTAAGATTATCATGGTGGTATTATCTAACCCGCCATCACAAATAATGAGACGCAGACACCTTTTAGATTTTATACTTGCCTTATTTACTTTGGGCAGGGCAGATATTTCACCTACGCTGTCTCAATGTCCTCACCATCCATCTCCCAGACCCCATCCAATGACATCCACCTTAATCCTCCTCATATGAAACATCTTCCATCCATAATCTCATAAATACTTGCTTTTATTTTTCATCTGGGCTTTTCCATGCCATTATTGGAGTCCTTTCTCCTCACCCACGTGGTTTCTTCTCTGCACTATCCCATCGTGTTATCCTTTTTCCTCCTCTCTTCCTGTCTGTCTGACTGTGGTGATTTTTCTCTTGAACCCAAAAACCTTAGCCATGGCTACCCCATTCAGCCCTGCCTGGATATAGGCCATTCAATCAACCAATCAGGTATGTCCTAGGCAAGGATCGGTGTAACCAGATCTTGAGGGCCGGTAACACATATCAGGTCAACGTCCAATAGACCTTACGAGTAGAGGCAGCTGCACAGAGCCTACGGGAGCTGACTGTCCATTAAAACCTTGACTCCAGGCAAAAGCTTCTGATTCCAGTCTCTCTGAGCCTCAGTTTCCTCATTGATTAAGTGAGTTCTGTGATTTTGCCAGCCTCACAGTGTGGGGTGGAAATGAAAAGAGAGTAACCTCTGCACTCTGTGTGGCATGTGGTTAGTTAGCTGTCAGCACATACAGTGTCTGAGGATGAGGGAGCTCGAACACCTCCTCTGTCATCTCCCAGCTGCATACTGGCTGGACTCACTTGAGAGAGTCCCTGTCACCATCACCTATAGCCGTATGCTCATGGGACACATCTTTCTGGTCTTTCTGAACCATGGTCCAGGACTATTATGAAAGACAGTAAAAAGTCAGAGATCTGGGGTATGGAACCAGAACTCGAGGCTCACCCCTGTTTTAACCCTTTACTACTTGTGTGAATCTGGGCTGGTCAGTTAATTTTGAACGTAAGTTTTCCTGTTAGTACCATGGAAAAAATATTTGTAAGGACCAGCAAAGTTGGTATGAGAAATAAAATGCTTATCAGCTTGGTGCCTGGTCCATTAAAAAGCTCAATGATTTATAGCCTCCATGGTGATTATTATCCACCCTGCTGCCAATTCCCAGTTGACCTGTGACCTGTCTGGCCAAGGGCTTGTTCATATCACACCAACTGTGCCTTGTGGCTCTGTTCGGCCTTTCACAGATTTCTGTGGGGGACTGTCCACTGACTGGGTGTGATATTGGCGCACACAGGATCACCAGCTGATTTATGAGCCAACCCATTATGTGGCCAGTATTGTAGCCATGAAAGGAAGCTGGGGCTGTGGGGGAGGCCTGGCCAGCTGAGATGAGAAGATAGCCTGGGAACAGGATGCCCAGGTTGCCCTGGTCTCTGCTCTTTCCTGTGTGGAGTGGGGAAGTGACTGCGATCCCTGCTCTTTGCCCTCCACCCTAGCTGTGAAGGGAACGCCTTAGGTGTCTCTCACCAGAGGCCAGGTGGCCGCTGCTGTGTCAGCCAGGAGGCAGCCAGGAGGCAGCCAGGAAGCTGGCAGTTTTCCTGGTACTGGAATGAGGTCAGCGAGGGATGGGGTCAGGAAAGGTCTATTGCCCACCAGAGTCTGTGATGTCTGTCCTGAGAGCGTCACGGGCCCTCACTAAAGGTCAAAACCTGGGTGGGCTTCCCAAGAGAACAGTGGTGGATGGAGGCTGAGTGGTCCAAGAGAGAAGCCCTGCCAATCATGGTGCCAGAGGTGGAGTCAAGGATGCCTTTGGTTTGGAATGAGAACCTGAGTGACATGCTTTCAGGGTCCTGGGCATTCGTCCTGGGCTCATCTTTGCCAGAGTCTGGGGCCTATTGCCTGGCTGTCTTGCTTATCTCTCTGTCTGAAAGGTGGCAGTTTGGAGAGTGGGGCAGAAGGACATACCACATTTACTCGTGACCACCGTTGAGCATGCCAGCAACACTAGTCACAACCTGATGGGTCTGACCAGAGCAGGATACCCGTACCCTGGGAGATAAGATGAAAGAGGAGGTATTTGGCTCCCTTCCATCCTTAGACACAGCTTACTGAGAGACAGTTGACCGCGTGACCCACAGTTTGCAGACCTTGCTCTCTTTTCATCCCTCTATCACAGTGTAAGGTTGGCACATCGTAGATCTCGGTAGACGAGGTCACGGGGAGCTGCCCTGTGGACATCTTCCACCTCCGTTGACAGTCATGAAGCCGTGGGCAGTGAGCGCTCGAGTCAAGATAGCCCTAGAGACTTTATGAGTACAGCAATCTAAGCAGCATCACGGAGACTACTCCCAAGCTCAGACTCTGTTCTTCACCAGGGCAGACACCTTGGCTCGCTCATGTCGCCATCCTCAGCAACTGCCATGACTTCAGATGCATAAGAATGGCTGTCTTATGCCAACCATGCATGCAGTTGTTTCCCTGTGCTTATGTATCCCACTTCCACAGATTCAACCAACTGTGAAGTATTTTGGGGGAAAAAAAAGTTTTCTTGAGCAGAGATATATTTTTTCTCATTATTCCCTAAACAATAAGATATATGTAACATGTCTCAGCATTTTAAAAGGTAGATTATCTATCTATCTATCTATCTATCTATCTATCTATCTATCTATCTATCGTGTGCGTACCTGAGTGTATGTTTGTGCTCCATGTGTGCACAGTGTCTGTAGAGGCTATGGGATTCCCTGGATGTGGAGTTAGGCAGTTTGTGAGCTGTCTGATGTGGCCGCTAGGATCAAACCTAGATTTTCTGAAAGAGAAGCAAGTGCTCTTAACTGCTGGGCCATCTCTCCAGCCTCGGTATTTAGTTGGTTGGTTTGGAATGAAAACCTATCGAAGGGTTTCTCTGTGTAGCCCTGGCTGTCCTGGAACTCACTCTGTAGACCGAGCAGGAGTTGAACTCACAGAGGTCCTCCTGCCTCTGCCTCCTGCTTGTTGGGATGTGAAGCATGCGCCACCATGCCCAGCTCAGTATTTACATTTTATTTGGTGTTATCAGCAATCTAGAGCAGACTATTTTATATATGTCTGGAGTGTCTGCGATTTTTTTTTGTTTCCTGGGGAGTGTGGACTCAATTCCCTGTGGATACCAACAACAAGAATTATGTGTGTTTATATGATATCTAGAACACAGTTAAATCTCTGTGAGTGAAGGAACCATGTTACTCAGCCGATAACTTTGAGTTCAGTACTGGATGAAAGAGTGTCATATTTGCTTAGTTGTGGATGTCACTATAAGGATAGCCGCCTCATCAGTTGGTGGGTAGGAATGCTGGCTGTTAAGCACCACTTACCTTTCAGGCACAAGGACACTTCTCTTTCCCTTAATCACTCAAGAGCCCTGATGAGTTAGTATTTTTATTTTTAGGGATAAGGGGATTGAGGCTTAGAGTGTCATGAGATGTTTCATGAGGAGCGAGTGACCGTTGCTAAATCGAGAGCCTGGCTCCCTCACCTGCAGGAGAGTGGGCTTCCTCTCATCACTGTGCTACCTTTTCTGTGTCTATAAAGTTTTAACCTGTGACTGTCTTGCATCATGCTTGCTTTGGAGGCCCTTAGGAGTCCCAGCCTAAAGCTCCACAATGGACTTAGGGAGGTGTAAGTTCTCCGAGTTCCTGGGCCCTGTTTGCTTCATCCACAGTGTATTTCTCTATATAGAGTCTGAGCTTGCATCAGGCCTTCACAGAGGGGCTCATGGCCCATTGTAAAGTGAAGAACCATCGAGCATAGGAATCTACACAAGGGACTTTTCCAGAACCATGAGCACTGACCAGAGATTCCGTTTCTCTTACCCACAGAGGACTGATTATAGTGAGCAGTAACCTCAGCTACATCATCGAGCCCGTCCCTAGCAACGACAGCCAGCACCGCATCTACAGAGCTGAACATCTCAAGCTGCCCCCAGGGAACTGTGGGTTCGAACACTCCAGGCCCACCTCTAAGGACTGGGCCCTTCAGTTTACACATCAGACCAAAAAGCAACCTCGCAGAGTGAGTTTTTAGGTTCCCATCGGAGCTGGCAGACTGGACTGAGCTTGTCTGTTTGTGTACTCTTACTTTGGTTCCAGGAGTATTTCTAAATTGAGGGAGGAGAATGGGTAAGAGAAAGGAAAAAGCCTTTCTCTTTCTTTCTCTCTCTCTCTTTCTTTCCTTCCTTCCTTCCTTCCTTCCTTCCTTCCTTCCTTCCTTCCTTCCTCTCTCACTCTCTCTTAGGATTGTTGAGTGAGATACCTTCATACGAGAACCACTGTTTGTATTTAAAATACTATAAGATACCAATTTAAAAAACTGTGTAAGGCTTAAAAAAAAAAAAGGTCTACTTCCCCTCTTGGAATAGCCACCTCATCTGATATATGTTTTTTGTTCACACGGAAAACGGAGGTCTGTGGTCTCACGCTTATTTGGGAACTGAGCTGTCGGCATGTTCCCTCGTGGGATGGCCTTGCTATTGCCTTTACTAGCCAGTTTGGCTTTTTTGTTTTGTTTGAGAATAAAGGGTTCTATCCCAAGGCCCGTAAAGGTCTCCAGCAATAACCAGTTGCAGATGGAGGTGGTGGGTTGCAGCCAGGACTGTCCCTAATACATACATTTAAAAGAAGTAAGAAGGTCACAGCTTATTAACCAGCATGGTTTCCCAGCAGCCCTTTGGAATGAGTCTACTGCACTGACCTGTTTCTGTCCCTTCCTTAGATGAAACGGGAAGATTTACACTCTATGAAGTATGTGGAGCTTTACCTGGTAGCTGATTACTCAGAGGTAAGGGGTCAGTGATGGATTTCAGCAGAAAAACTCTCTTGAAAGCATCTGTCCAGCCTTCCAGCCGCTTTTGGGAAATATGGGCACATTCATCTCTTTTCTAGTTTATCATATAAATTTGATCTTAAATCAAACCAAGGGCTCTTCTAACCATTTTAAATAACCAGGAAAAAAAAAAAAAAACAACAACAAAAAGCCATGGAAAGCCTCTCCTAGGGTGGACAAACAAACACAGGAGTTCCTCAAATGGGATCTCACAGGCCTACAGTTATGATATATATATATATATATATATATATATATATATATATATATATATATGTGAGACAGTTTCACGAAGCTCAGACTGGACTCAAATTCACTATTTGTTTTTTGTTGTTTTTTTTTTTTTTTTGAGACAGGGTTTCTCTGTGTAGCCTTGGCTATTCTGGACTCACTTTGTAGACCAGGCTAGTCTCAAACTCATAGGGATTCACCTGCCTCTGCCTCCCAGAGTGCTGGGATTATAGGCGTGGGCCACCACACACTGCTCCACCTGTGATTCCTTAGAGAATCTTTCAGACTTCTGTTTTACAAAGGCAGCAAGTGCCTTCAGCATCTAGTCAGATACCATTTTCTCATATGCGTATTTATTTTTATAACTATGTTGGTGCTCCCCAAATGTCCCCAGAGCAGCAGCATATGAGGCATATTGAACCCCACATTGTCAGGATGGGGTCCCACCATCCACTTTTTAATAAGACATTGGAGTAGTTTTTTGGTGCATAAAAGATGAGTTTGGGAGTCCTGACCTAAAAGAGAGGGTAGCTCCTTAGTTCATATTGCTCAAATTGGACAGACCTTAAGATTTCACCAACACCCACCCACCTGGCTCAATCATTTGGTTCACTTTGTTGGAAGACTTCCTGATTTCTCTATGATGTATCAGCACAGTGCTCCGAATCAGGACGTGGCCCTGAGCCAGTTTTGGTGTTTGCAGCAGAGGCACAAAACCGTTGTGGTTCTTGAGCATGATAGCCCCCAAAATGGGCCGTTGGTGATGCTCAGCGCACACACAGAGGCTCTGAGGTAGTGCGGACTTGGTAGAACGCCCCTCTGACGTGGTGATGCTGAAGATGGCAGGTCGCCTGTGAAGAAAGCTGAAATGGAGAATTATCCTGGAGTGGAGGAGTTCTGGTTTCTTCTGGCAGCCCTCCATACACCCACCTCCTGCATTTGCATTAACCGGATGTTACCTTCAGGTCCCACACCATGCAGCGATACAACCACAGCCGAGCACACTTTCCCGTGCCCCGGCTGAACACTGAGCTGAAGCTTCCTGTTCTCCTCGAAGGTGCACAGCATGTATCAGGGGCAATGCCAGGTGGGGAGAGAGTTCAAGCCCAGGTTTGAGAGCTTGTTTTGAGTTCCAGAGGCAGGAAGAGAAGGCCCTTGAACTCCTTAAAGACAGGAGGACTGGGCAGAGGAGTGGGGGTGAAGGGCTTTCTAGGGAGGAAACATTGTGTCCTCTTTCAGGAGAGTTTAACCTTTTAACTAACGTTGGCATTGTTTTTCCTTGCTGGGGACGGGTGGGTTCTAGGGTTTTTGTTTTCTCTCTGCAGACTGACGTGTAGATGCCGGAGTAATAATGAAGGTTGGTTTCAAGGGCAGCCAGGCTCCCCACTCAGCCCTGCCCCACCCACCACTTTTACCCCTCTGTACTGGGAGAAAGCCAAACCCCCTCCTCCTGGATAGTTCTCCATTTAAGCTTCGCATCCAGTGTTGTCTGATACAAAGGTCTTTGACCATTATTCCGAAGCCACAGGATCCATTGAGCAGTTAACAGGTCCTGGAACCTCCGTACATTCAGGCACCTGGAAACCCCACTGCTCTAGTCAAAAGGAGGAGTATTACTCCTTTTGCCTAGTGGGTCCTTGATACAGGGTTTTAAAAGCCACTTCATGCAAGTCTCCAGCAGGCACAGAAGAGGAGGCGGGTGGAGATGCAGAAAGGTCCGCCTCCTCACATCTAGATTCACAGCAAGCCAGGGAGGAAAAGTCTCTGCTAAAGATGCCTCCTTGACTGTTGCAGAGGGTTGTGCCTTAAGCACCAGGAGCATAGGCGTCTGCACTCCTTTTCCTACAGGGCTGTGGCGTACACTTCCTGGTAGGTGAATGGATTTCCTGGTCCTCAGGGTCATGAACATCCCTCAGCTGTAGGCTTCTCATGATTCGTGTCGGGGTTGCAACCCAGAATCGGCAGGCAGGAATGTATTCTTGGCAGTTGGTCTGCTAGTACAGGGAGATGAATGAAGGGAAGGATGAGGTAGTTGTGATTTGCAACCTACTGCTGAAACATGGCAGCCCTTTCTGGGCTCTGAACTCAGGGCAGCCAGCGGGCTCTCTGAGTGGGAAAGCAAGTCCTGGGAAGTGAGGCTGTGGAATTGCACTCTAGAGAGCTGTCACAGTTAAGGTGAGCAAGCTGTGGCTCTCTGCTTGGGCGTAGTTAGGAGCTTCGGGGATGGTCCATTCCATAGGTGAAGTGGAGAAGAGAGCTGCTTGGGTGGTTCTGGGCATATTCACTCATTCATTAAGAGAACTAAAACGTAAGGGGAGCAAAGAGGTTCATGTTGGAGGAGGAGAAAGAACAGCTCTAGGCATAGATCTGTAAAGGACTTTGACAGAACCAGCAGGATGTGAAGGAACTGGGAAAGGCTGACATTCTGTGCAATAATTCCAGTGTCACCCCAGAAAGTGTAACATCGAGACGCAGTTTTCGTAAGACCACGAGTTGGAAACTATAGCCCGTGGCCCTGTGAACCCACCATACAATTCTATGAATAGTATCCTGGAGTGAGCCACATGCTTTGGTTCATGGTATCCTGGAAGCTTCTAAGCCACCAAGAAAAAATGGGTAGTCGTGGTCCACAGCCATGTGGTCTACCAAGCCTAAGAATGTTTACTCTGTGGTGCTTTGCAGAATAAGCTTACCAACTCTGGCTTCAGAATCTTCTGGAAAGCATGATACATTGCCTCAACGATGGTGGCCTTATTGGGCCTCACTGTTTGAGGATGGGATTAATGTATTTGGAAGCCTGAAATCTCATCCCAGGGCTGTAATAAATATTTACTGAGTGAATGGAAATACTCTGCCACAGGGCTAGTTTAGAAGTCGGGCGGTCTTCATAATGGAAATGTCTAGATTAAACACTTTGCAAAGGTCTGTGCAACAGCGTTCTAGCATTTAACTCTGTAGGAGGTAAGGGTAGCAGTGGGGTTCTTTTCTGGCGAGTGAGTGATGGCGCCAAAGAAGTCAAAGAATGTTCCAGAATCTATAAGAGAAGGAAATGGTGCCCTTCTCCGTACTAGAGCTGGGACTCAGCTTCTGCCAAACAAATATTTCAGGGCGTTTTTTGTTTTGTTTTGTTTTGTTTTGGCTGTTTCTTCTTTTGTTGGGTATCCTGGTGGATCAGGAGGGAGGAAACATAGGATGGCCCAAAATTGAACACACATAGTACATACTTAACAGTAAATCCACTAGGTGCCCAGATTCTATGTAAAAATGGCAGCAGACAGGGCACGTTCATCATTTGGCACACAGGAAGTTTACAAGTCTAAAAATCCTGACGATTTTTCCTACTTCATCATTGAAGGTGAAAGAGGTCTCCACCTTCTGTACTTTGCAGACAGAAATGGCAAACACAAGCTCTCCTCATGGGACTCTACACAGACCCATTCTAATCAAGGACAGCACAAGTCTTCTCTCCTGTGCTTGATTAGCAATGTCTGACTTCACAACGATGAAGTCTCAGAACCTTTCTCACTACAGAAGGCCCTGCCAGTTGGAATCACGTGGGAGGCAAAACCTGTTTGCTGCTGCCACATGGTCCCATTGGCAGCACACTCTATGTGACATTTGCATGGCCATCCTCTGCAGTTATTTCGTACAAGTTCCCAGTGGGTTTCTTAGCTCTTTTTAAATTTTGTACTTCTTAAGTTGAGGGTTTACCATGTTAGTTATTTCTGCCTCTCCCACCATTGTAGCTGAAGCTCCTGTGGTCTGGGATCAAGATTGGTATGCCCTTTTTGTGCTAATCGGTAGAGTAATTCAGCAACCATTAGACAGACTGGTGATAACTGATCACATTCAGGAGAGCCTTGGAAGATGTGTGACAGTGGCTTCCTATTGGGTTGATGAGCAAAGCAAAGAGACCTGTCTCTCTTCTGACAAACCAGTGAGTTAGCCAGAGGCACTGTAATTTAAACGACAGGAAAAGAAACTACTTGAAGGGCTGGAAGAAGATCCCTGGGTCTGCTCTGTTTGCTGCCCGGAGCTGGGAGATGGAGGTATCAGGTGGACTCTCAGTCAGGTCCTCCCCTCGGTGAGCTGTGGGAAGGGCTATTGCCTAAAAATGACTGCACACCAAAGACAGACGAGAGTAAGAGCATATTCAGTTAGAAGAAATGGGGCCCCAGAAAGGCCCTTGGGTGAGAGCTGAATTCAGGAGGGTCTCACCTGGTTCTGTTTGTCCCATTTAGTTTCAGAAGAATCGGCGTGACCAGGATGCCACCAAACACAAGCTCATGGAGATCGCCAACTACGTTGATAAGGTGAGACCAGGTGTGTGCTTTCTGGGGGAGGTTGCAGCACCTCAGATGGTCTGCAGGACAGGAGGCCGCGTGTACCTGAGCTCTTGCTGCTGAACTGGGCACTTCTGGCTGGTCCTTGAAGGAATGCACTGTGCCATAGATGCTGGGGAGTGGAGCATGACAAAACCCTGAGCTGTGAACCAGAAGCAAGTAATTCAGCTTCTTGGGTTGTGTTTTGTTTTCTTGTTGGTTTGCGTGAGTTTCTGGGGGCTTTGTTTCACTCTGTTTTAATTTATAAAGCACAAGCATTGGCTTACGTCAGTGTCTTTCAGTTATTTTTATAGCTTTCTGAGGAATCCCTTTTTAAAAATGAGATCTTGTGCCCCTACCCTTGTAAAAGTCACATGGAAGCAGTTGGCTGTAAATAGAAGTACCCACAGCTCTGTGGGTCCCTCTGACCTTTGTCACATCTGAAGTGGCTCTTGAGGAATATTGGGCAAGGAAGAGCTCGATTCAAGAAAGATTTGAGGTTGTGTTTAAGGGTTCCTTCCAGGTGAAAGCCCAGTGATTCTTTGATTTAGGAGGCATGGGATTGAAGTGGGTTGGGATCAGAAGATGGATGTATAACCTTTAAAGGTCTGTCTGGAGCTGATGTATTAAACTGTCTGAGGATCTCCTCTTCTATCTAAGAAGAATGCAAAAAGAAAATGGCTACGTTTCCTTAGTCAGGGTCATTTAAAACATGCCCTTAGGAAATTCGCAGAGGTTTGAGGTGCACTAAATGGAAGTATTCTATGTGGAAGCAGGTTCCAGCGAAAACCGATGAGAAGCTATTTTGCAGTGGCAGCTCCTCTCTCCACAGGCTAGCAGTGTGGGCTTTAAAACATAAGCTTTGTCTGGCGTGGTGTCTGTTCACACTGCAAGCCTGGAAGGGATAACTGCTGAGGTGATGGATGTAGGAGGCCCAGGGCGGAATGCTCTTCGGAGGCTGTGGATATGTGTGCTGCTGCGACATCACAGCATGCCTGGCATCCACAGAAGCTCCAAGAGGGCCCTGGGTCCCCTGGAACTGTAGTCAAAGATGGTTGTGAGCTGCCAGATGTGAGTGCTGGTAACTGAACACAGGGTCCTTCTTTGGTTGGTGGTTCAGTCTCTGTGAGCCCCTGTGGGCCCAGGTTAGTTGATTCTGTAGGTTTTCTAGACAGAGTCCCTTGAATGGAAAACATGTAGCCTCTCATGAGAACAAGGAAAAGAGACACTGAAGAACTGAAGAAAAGACGCTATTCACTATGTCGTCACAGAAGAAGTGGAAGCCAGGGCATCAGACCAGGAATTACGGTTTAGAAGAATAAGTATAATAAGAGATGAAACACTTCAGTATTTAGATATCCATATTGCTTTGCTTTTAACTCCATATATAACCTCCCCCCCACCCACTTTGGGCCTCGCTTTCTTCATTTGTTAAGTAAGAAGACTGAACATAAGTCTTTTGTGTGTCACCAATATCACTTTTGCAATTTGTACAGAGAATTTTGTTAGTATTTTCTTAATTGGAATATTACATTTGTTTTGTTTTTTTGTTGGCATGCCTTAGTCACATATCTCCTTTTGGGGCTTGGAGTAGGGGCAGTATTAATGATTAAACCTAAGGCCTCATGCTTGCAAGGCAAGTACTCTGCCGTTGCCCTGCTGTCTCAGCCCTTGGGTCTCATGTCTGTTTCTCCGAGACTCTGATAACCATTTCAGGACACTGTTAGAACTTTAAAGACTTAACTCTTGGCCTGCTAGAGGATGGTGGATCTTAGCTCTTGGGCTGGAGAGATGACTCAGCTGTTAACGAATAGAGTTTTTAAACTTTCAAGCTGGGCAGTGGTGACGCACACCTTTAATCCCAGCACTGGAGAGGCAGAGGCAGGTGGTTCTCTGAGTTTGAGACCAGCCTGGTCTGCAAAGTGAGTTCCAGGACAGCCAGGCCTATACAAAGAAACCCTGTCTCAAAAAAAAAAAAAAAAAAAAAAAAAACCAATAAAGAAGTATAAAAAATTTAAAAAAATTAAACTTTTGTGGCTTAAAATGCAAATTTAATTGCTGTGAAGGCACTAGATGGAAAGTCTTCAGCCTTCCCCCTCTCCGGTGGTCCTCAACAGCTGTGGAAACAGATCATTGGCAAGTAATGGGTGAAAGTCAAACACCGGCCTTTCCTAGAGGGAAGGATTCTAGAGACACAGTAGCCTCCTGTCTCCAGCTCCTAGCTCTCTCAGCAATAGAATCTCAGGGATCCTGTAACCAAACCCTCAACCTCTAGGAAAATGTGTTTTCCCTGGGGGAATGCAGGAAGCTGATCCTCCTGCCACCTGTGTATCAGCTATTGTCCTGGAGGCCAGGGAGGTGGAGGGCTTGGCTGGCTGGGGTTAGGGATTTTCCTCCTGCACTGGTTGATTAGAAGACGCTGATGAAAAATGGAAACGGTATGTTAGTAAACACATTAAAAAAAAAAAAAAGCAACAGATGTGGAAGGAAAAGAAAACAGACACAGACCAAAGGTGTTGGTGGAAGCCTTGTGGAAACCTTGCAGGATGGTCCGTTCTTTGAAGCCTCTTACTTCCCTTGAGCACATGAGGTCCACCATTCCCAGTGGAGTGAGGCCCATCGGCTCCTCTGAAACTTGCTGAGCCAGCTGCTTGGACTGAACATTTTGGAACTAAAACTGGAAGGAGTAAATGCATTTGCTGAATCAGGGGCCCAATCCACAGTATTCTGCCTTAACTATAAGAAAAGCCAAGTTGACTTCCTTAAAAAGCTGCTTAGGGAAGCAAATTCAGATGCCTTGGGGTTTTTCTGTCATGATTGATGTGGTGAAGATAGAACTGCAGCTCATCTAGGCTGCAGTGAAGGATCTGAGTGTGTGTGTTTAGTATGTTATTATATACATATTGTAGGATCCCAGCTCTTTAGCAACACATGGTCACAAAGGCCCTGAGGGCATGATCTGGGTCATCCCGGCTCTGGCGTCTTCCTGCTGAGATTTTGGGCAAACTTCTTAACATCTTTTAAGCCTCAGTACTTGACCTGGTCCTGAAAAGTGCTTGAGAAACACTGAAGCCCCAGTTATTATTTTGAACTGGGAAGGAACTCACTATTTTTAGATTGAAGTGAGATCACCCAGTGTGTAAAGCACCAGCCCACCGGTGACTTTCAAAAACAAAACAACAACAATAATAATTTAAAAAAGCTCTCATGAACAGAAAGGCCACAGAAGGATAGAGTACTTCAATCTAACAATGTGAAAAATAAATGGAGGAGGACATTCAACATTGACCTTTGGGCTTCGTGTGTACATGTGCACACACAGGACATTTACATATAGCACACAGTCACTGACACGCTAGCTAGCATCAAGGTCAGATCTAGCAAAGAACCCCTTGATAGTTGGGGTACCACTCCCTCTACTTCTTTTTCTTCTCACCCCTGTTTTCAAAGCCAAGATACTGCAGTTTGACCACCAGGATGCATCTGTCTGAGCATCTCTCATTTCCTAGCTCCTGGAGCCAGTGACAGGGGAGCAACCAATCCATCCTCTGAACTCTGAGCTCTTAAGCTGGGTGGTGAGAGAAGCTGGCCTCTCTGTGTCTTTTCAGTTCTACCGATCCCTGAACATCCGGATCGCTCTTGTGGGCTTGGAAGTATGGACACACGGGGATAAGTGTGAAGTTTCCGAGAACCCGTACTCTACCCTTTGGTCCTTCCTTAGTTGGAGGCGCAAGCTGCTTGCCCAGAAGAGCCACGACAATGCGCAGCTGATCACGTAAGTTGCATCAGCTTTGGCTGCACAACCTCTGCCTGCCACCCAGGTGCTAAGTTCACCCTTTCCTTCCCCAGGGGTGAATGTCGGTTGTCAAGGCCTCCCCTGCTCCCTAGGCCAGATGATCAGGCATTTTCAGGCCCGGCACACATTGAGAAAAAATGCCAAACAGTCAAAGAATGATAATAGTCCTCTGACGTGTTTTCCACCCATGTGAGAAAATTAGCCTCGCCCGTAATCAGCTGAGCAGCTGAAGCGCTGGAGCGTGTATCAGGGGAGGGGGATGACTCTTGCTCACAGCTGACAGCCTGAAACAGACATTGTCCTAGCACATCTGCTGACCTCCCAACACAGGACGCAGGTGACAGGTCCTCGTGTCCTTCACGTGCTTCTCCAGGGTCAGGGTGGAAGACCTAAGGATGAACCTTGATGCTTGGTGAGAGGAAATACTGGCCAAGTACTGTGTTGGGTTCTCACCAGCCTCAAAGAGAAAAGAATACTGATGGAGTCCAGGGTGTGTGTGTGTGTGTGTGTGTGTGTGTGATGTGACAGCTCCTTAAGGGTGACTAGTATGTATTAGTGTTGGCCTTCCAGGGTGGTTTGAGGTGGTTACAACAAAAGGCACATAGATAATAAACTTGATTTTCCCCTTTCATAATAACTGGGATTTTCAATATTTACCTGTCCCTAAAACCTGGACTCTTGAGTGGTCACTAGAGGAGCTTCCACTCACTGAGAAAGTCTTTGTTTACTGAAAAAGTTGGCTTGAACTTTTGGGCGGAATTTTTTACAATAGAGCTTCCCCCAGAGCCAAGCCCAAGTTTGTAAAGTAACAAGTAGTGCTTCCTTGTAAAGTGGCAAGTACTGCTTCCTTCAGATTGAATCTCTGAAGCAAACGTTTACTAAACATCCATCCATTCCTACTCTGCTTGGGTTCAGCTGAGAGACAGATGCGTTAAACTGGGGTTAATCGAAGCTGGCTGTTGATAGAGTAGGGTCAGCATTGCAGAACTGAGGCGGAAACAGCTTTTCCCTGCACCCAGCTGCGGTTTGTGAGGCTCCCAAGGAGACACAGCTGTTTTCTTGGTCCTAGTGTGATGTGAGGATGAAGCATCAGCCCCCACAGCTGCTGTCCAGCATCCCCATTTTTTTGGCCCAAGACATGTGCCACCGATGGTAAGGCCTGAGCCCCCGACCACTGCCGGATGTGGATGTGGATGTGATTCACTTGGGCATCACAGCCTGTGCCACGCCCTTTCCCTGACCACTGCCTGTGCCCATTTTCTGTGAATCAGGAATAGGGCACAGCTTTTCAAGCCCTGCCTTCTTCCTTTCCTCTGGGCACATTATGAAGGGAAAGTGACCTTTCTTCTCTGCTACTGAGGGAGTAAGTGAGAGGATGTGAGGTGGGGTATCCTGAAAGCTGTCCAGTTGGCTGAGTTACCAGGCTTGTCTTCTTGGGAATAGTCTGGGAATGTCAATGGGGTCGATACACAGCTTGGTAGCCACTCACTCCTGTCCCAGGAGAACAGCTTCTCAGGCCCCACCTGAATCACGTGTGTGTGTGTGCGTGTGTGTGTATGTTTTCTTTTTCCTGCAGTGGCAGATCCTTCCAAGGCACCACCATTGGCCTGGCCCCCCTCATGGCCATGTGCTCTGTGTACCAGTCTGGAGGAGTGAGCATGGTGAGTCTCAGGCCATACAGTAGAGTTGCATAAGGGGACAGTGACTCCCAAGACAGAAGGGCGGTTTTGAAAAGCCAATTATAGCTGCAGAATTAAAAAAAAAAAAAAAAGCATTAAAAGGAGCAAATGTTTCAGATGAGATTACTAGGTCCTAAGGATGGAAGTATCCAGGGATAAATTTTCATTCATTGTAACTTATGCTGGTTTGTAAGCAGTTGTATAACTAGATCTCTAGCTCTCTTGTATATTATTCTACACCAGGGCCTGGAGAAGTAAGAACACAAACTGGGGGATGGGGAAGAACAGAGATGGAAGCCCAGGTTAGATATTGTATTGTGAAATAGATCCTGTCTCAAGAGTCACAGTTAGGAAATTGCTGTCTTTTGAAATTCTTACTTGGCGAGGAGAGTAGGTTTTTTTGTTTTGTTTGGTTGGTTATGTAGCTGTGGCTGGCCTGGAACTCACTGTGTAGACCAGGCTGGCCTCAGACTTGCTATCTAGCTAAAAAATGACTATGAAGTTCTGTTCTTTCTGATTCTATCTCTTGAGTGCTGAGATGACAAGTATTTGCTTACATACCAAGTCTGACATGGTTCTGGTATCAAACCCAAAGCTTCAGGCCTGCTGGGCAAGTGATTCTACTAGCTGAGCTATATCCCTACCCCATGACTTTGTGACTATTCATTTCTAACCTAGAGTGATCTAAAGGAAGCTCTCATTTGTTAGAAATTAAACAAGATAATAAAAGGAACACACATGTATTTAGTAAACACCTTGGTTTTTTTGAGATAGGCTCTCACTATAGAACATTGACTAGCCTGGAACTCACCATAAAAACCAGGCTGGGCAATAACAGACACTCTCCTGCCACTGCCTCCTGAGTGCTAGGATTAAAGGCATGCATCGCATTGCCTGCCTGGTATAAATACCCTTTTTGCTGCTTTTGTTCTTCTGTTTGGAGTTTTGGGATGGGTCTCACTACAGTGCCCAGGCTGGTCTCAAAATATCTGGGCTCAAATGGGCTCCTGTTTCAGTCTCTTGTTAGCTGGCACTATAGGTTTGCATCACTGTAACAGCTCTACTTATTCATTTTTTTTTAAAGTTTTCTGCTTTGATGATTAAGATCACACACTATACCAGGTTGTGTCTGGGGTGGCATTTTCTCATGGGGTATTCTCAGAAAACAGTGAGCCAAATGTACCTACTACTCAACTCAAGATGATGTTCAAGAAATACATCCACAGGTCATTCATGGTCTGCAACTCTGAAGAACTCAGGTCTTAAAGAACAGTCTTTGGAGCATTTAGTTTCCTAATGCTGACAGTGGCCTTAGATTTGTTAAGAGAGCAGTGGAGAGCCAGAATGCTCACTGTTACCGGAATCAATAGAGAGCTTGCAGGCTCAGGTAAGAAAAAGTCATGCAGGCCAGGGGTGATGGTGCACGTCCTTAGTCCCAGCAACTGGGAGTCGGAGATAGCTGGGTGTCTGAGTTTGAGGTCAGCCTGGTCTACTGAGTGAGTTCCAGGACAACCAGAGAAATCCTGTATGAGAGAGACACGGGGGGGGGTGTAAATCAGAAATAAAACCCTGACCTTAAATTGAACTCTCCTCTGAACAGGACCACTCTGAGAATGCCATCGGAGTAGCCTCCACCGTGGCCCATGAGATTGGCCACAACTTTGGCATGAGCCACGATTCTGCACACTGCTGTTCTGCCAGTGCAGCCGACGGTGGGTGCATCATGGCGGCCGCCACTGGGTGAGTCAACCGGAAGGGTAGCAGTGGGGAGAAGAGTGAGGCAAGAGGTACAGGGGCATTCTGACCCACACAGTCCTCCTAGATGGCCCCAATGAAACTTTTAAACTGTTTGTGAAGACAGCTTAAATGAAGTTTGGATAGAGAAGAAGTGGGCAGATGCGTGTGGGACACTAAATTCCTCAAAGCATGTTGGTGATGGTAGAACCCCAGATTGACTCACATTTTGTTAGTCCACCCTAGATTGACTCACTTTTTTATTATAGTTATAAAATTGGCTGTAAAATTGGCTTCTACATGTTTTGTTTGTTTTTGAGAGCACATCTGAGAGTGTCTTGCTCAGTCTAATCTTGAACTTGTAAATTTAAGCAACCCTCCCATCTTAGCTACCAAAATGTCTGGGGCTTTAAGTATGTGCTACCACACCCGTATGCTCCGTTCTTCACAAAGCTCTGATGAAGACCTTATTTTGATCAGGACCACAATCCTTGGTCCTTCCTCTTTGGTTTACCGAATAAGAGGAGGAGGAAGCCATCCACCTGATTCCTCAGGGAATCCATGAAGCAAGGCTGCTGAGTCTCCAGAAGTTACAAGGATTTTCTAAACCAGAGCTTTTGAAAGAGGAAAGCTTATCTTCTTATGTCTCAACACATACATCATGACGTTCTTCAAAACTGAAGGCACTCCCTGGAAGGCTTGTGATAGAATCCTTATTACATTCCTTCCTTCCAAGGCTCTATTGTTTGCTTATGCTTCCTAGAGAATGGTGTTTCAATGCAGCTTTCTTGTTTGTAGCGCTAGTGTTTGCTCACCACTTCTTGACTACTGTGACACCAGAAGGATGATGGTGACATGTAGGTTACAAGTTCAAGGGCATATTCAAATTGATTTGAGTTCATGGTTAAGCCCACCCCTTTCTCTGCCAATCCCAACAGAGTATCTATAGACAAATAGCTGACAGTTCCTACACACTCCTATGATGAATTTAATTTGTGAAGTACACAGTGAGGAGTTAAAAACACTAACTCAAAATCAACTAGAACATTTAAAACAGTGATGATAACAAAAGTTAATTCACACTTAGGATTTGTCCATTTCTGGAAGTTTCTATTTGATATTTTCAGATCACTCCTGACTATAGGTAACCAAAACCATGGCTAGCAAAGCTGCAGATAAGGGACCAGCTTCACTTTTGGTTCTTTTCCACAGTAGCAGGCGACTGTGGAGCTTCTGTACAGACTGTTGTGACAAAGACCACACGTTTGTGTGGTGGTTGGTGGAGTTGGTTATCTGGAGAACAAAGATCAGTCCTTTAGCCCATGAGTAAATTAAACCCATGGTCTCAGGTTTTCTGGCCCCGTTTTTCATCATAAAAAAATAAATACCCATCTGGCATTGAGTCGGCTGGTGTTCTGTCTAGCTCTCAGTCTGGAAACCTGTCTTTAATGTACTTCTAACCCTTTACCTCAGCTCCCTCACGCAAAGGAGAGAAATTGCTGTTCTGTTTCTCAACTGTCATTTTCATTTTTAATAAGGAAAATGTAACCATGCAGCCTGCTCATCGTCTCATGGTTCAGGATAAAAGAACTCTAAGTTCATGCATTGGTGGCTGTCCTGGCGAGGCAGAGAGCGTGCGTAGGGTTTTTCTTTGGAGTGGAGTTAGCCTCCTGGGTGGCAGGACAGCAGGCTTGTTTGGTGTGCTAATGCCTACCTTGTTCTCTGCCAGGCACCCCTTCCCCAAAGTCTTCAGCTGGTGCAACAGGAGGGAGCTGGACAGGTATCTGCAGTCAGGAGGTGGCATGTGCCTCTCCAACATGCCAGATACTAGGACGCTGTATGGAGGCCGGAGGTGTGGCAACGGGTACCTGGAAGATGGCGAAGAATGTGACTGCGGGGAAGAGGAGGTATGTAGCAGGACCATGCTAGAGGGAGGGAAGGCTCCGCATCACCTTCAGAGCTTCAGGACTTTGAAAGGACAACGTGGCACACAATTTCCTAGCTGCCGGCATTTCTTACACGACTACCAAAGACCCCCTTGTGTATGATGTAGACAGCGAGTCTGCCAGGTGCACCGTTTCTGTGGCCTCTGCAGCTGTGGTCAGCACAGTCATATCCAGAATCGGGGTGGAGCCCTTATGAGCAACTGCTCTTGCCACAGACCCCGGTCCCAGGCACGTAGGTCCCCTCCTCCGCAGAGGAGCCCCTGATGGCGACTTTGGCCCTCCAGCTGCACTGATTTTACTCTTGAGGCCACACAGCTGGGTGAGCTCATAAACATGAGCCTGGTGGGGAACCTTGAGAGAACAAGCTGTTTATCCCGGAGGAGGGAAGACTGGGAGGGAGTGTTGGAAGTGCTATCCAGAGCGGGAAGGGCCGCCGAGGAAGGAGAAGCAGAACTCTTTGTGGACAGGCCTTTCCTCCTTCCGAGCTTCAGAACGAGTATGGAGAGCACACACCCCAGCTCTGGTCATTTTTATCAAAAACATGTTTTTCTGGGAAAAAAAGCAGAACTATATTGTTTCGTGTCTATTTTCTGAAGGATGAGAAAGAGTATGTTAACCCATGCCTGACAGCTGGCGAACCGCAAGTAATGTGTATAGTGCGAGGCTAAGGCGGCAGTGTAATCTATGTGGAGATGGTTTTGGTTTGGTCTGTTCTACCTTTATTTAGCGTGCGTGTGTGTGTGTGTGTGTGCATGTGTGTGAGAGGGTCGAGTGTGGGTGTGGGTCAGAGGATAACCTCAGAGAGTTTTCCCTTCCTCTCCTTTCGGCACGTGGAACCGAACTCAGGCTCAGGTTGTCAGGCTTGGAAGCAATTGCCTTGGAAGCAACTGAGCCATCTTCTGACCTTCTTTTTAAACTCTAACCCTATAACTTTCAGAATAAATGAACTAGTGAAAGACCGAGAACCATGAACCAAAGGCCAGGGTCAGCCCTGGCCCTTCAGCAGGGGGAGTTCTGCTAGGAACAATGTGGATGTTAGGATTTCGCAAGTCTGACCACACAATTACATTATATTACCCAGAATCACCACATAGTCTCATCGCCAAGGATGATGCACCCGTGTCTTTTCTTTAACGGCCAATACCCATTACCTTAATAAAGAGCTGCCAAGTGATGTTCCCATGAGGCATTCTAGGGTGCAGAAAGCAGGGCATGCCAGGCAGGCCGGCGATGGAGGTGACAAGGGCGCCCCCTGCTGGGCCCTGACTCTTGCCCTGCTGCTGCCAGTCCAAAGCTACCTGTTGCCTTTGCAGGAATGTACTAACCCTTGCTGCAATGCCTCCAACTGCACTCTGAAGGAAGGGGCCGAGTGTGCCCATGGGTCCTGCTGTCACCAGTGTAAGGTGAGTGTCCTTCTCCCCCTGCCTCAGGCTTTGGGATGACAGCTGAGTGCGCAAGGGCTGGGTTTCAGCCTGCATCCAAAGTTCTAGACACAGGGCTGGGGAGGGGGCCCGGGAAGAACCTGTGCTTCCGCGCTCACGGCTCTGGATTCAGCCCCAGCACTGGGAGAAAGGGAATGTAAGAGGGTGTGTGTGTGTGTGTGTGTGTGTGTGTGTGTGTGTGTGTTAGATTTTTGAAACAGAATATCTCTTTAACTAAACCAACTGTTTTTCCATCCTGTGCCTCATTGTGTTCAAATCACCCCATATATCTATATCTATATCCCCTATATAAGATATATATCAATAAAATATATGTACATGTATATATGTATGTATGCACACATACATGTATATATTATCTTATATATGATTTATTATCAGTAAGTATTTGCTGTATATACCTATTTATGTACATATATATATATTTATGTACATATATATATATATATATATTTTTTTTTTTAAGACAAGATCTCACTAAATTGCTCAGGGTGACCTTGAACTTACCAGGCCTAGTGAGGCTTCATTTTTATTTGGACACATGAAAAAGAAAGCTATGATTCTGACTGACATCAATGGCCATTTGCTAGATGACAAGCACTATGCTGGGAGTTTTTAATGGAGGTTATCTGACTCAGTCGTCACAAAAGCCCCATGGGAGACATAGTACTGTCTTGATCTTCAGGTGAAGAGACTGGAGTCCTCAATTGATGGATGATATATTCTAGATTCTATCAGGACCCGGAACTGGCTCTCCATGACTCTGGAGTACACATTGCTAACATCAACATGGGAAATAATTGATTACTTTTATTGATCATATAGTACTGAACTTGAGAACTTTTTACATCTAAATTTGATAATTCAGGGAGTCTTAAAATAAAAAAAAATTAACAGATTCAGTGATAAAATCTGACCAAAATAGATATCAGACTAATTATATAATCTTTATTTAAAAATTATAGGGTGTACATATTTTTATTTTATCATAATATATTAATATTTTTGGTTATAAAGCTTATCTTAGGCCTTGTTGGAGGTTATATAATACACATATAGTGGCATATATATATATATATATATATATATATATATATACCAATTTTATTCATACAGATTTGTATATATACATTGTTAGATACACACACATATACACACACAGTATTATGATATTTGAACTTTTGAGTTATTAATCTGAAATCTGAGTACTAGAGGAGTTTCAGAATGGAGCTGTGGCCTGTCCTACCCTCAGCCTTCCGAGCCCACATTTTGTTCATGAATTGTTCACATGCCTTGCTGAACAAGCTTGCTCTTAGCAGCTAGAGAGAGAGGGCTGGAATTATGGGTAAACCAGAACAAAAACCGTTAAGCAGGTCAGCTCTCCAGTACTGGTGAAGTGCACGTATGTCCTGAGGCTTCTGCCTCTGCCACTGGCCCTGCCCATTCTTGCAGCTGGCCTTCATCCATTCCCTCAGCCAACTTTTCAGCCTGAGAGTGGCTAGCAAAGGGGCCTGCCGGTTTTTTTTCCTGAGAAGAGCCAGTGAGTGACATGGTCACTTAGAATGAGGGGAGGGCTTTGCTCTGAGTCATAGGTGTCAGGAGAACTTGGATACCATCCATTTTGACCCAGAAGCCCCCAGGGGGGCTGTGCTGGGTTGCAATCCTTCATGTCTCAGACCAAGGCTGAAGAAAAACCATGGAGCGACCTTTCACTCAACTCCAGAATTTCAAACTGGGCCTCACAAAGGATTTGTTGCCTTCAAGCCCTGCTTGTGTGAATATGGGGACTTTATTAATTATCTGAATCTCAGTTGTCTGTCTGTAGACTGGCCTGAGTATTAGAAACACTGACATAAGCAGCTGTATCTACCTCGTGGATATTGTGAGGACACAGATGAGATACGTATAACACTCAGGCCCATGCTTGGTGTAACGGCAAGGGCGTGTTATTGAAGAGTCTGGAACCACAAGCTGGGTGTGGCAAGACATGTCTACAATTCTGGCACTTTAGAGGCTAAAACAGGAGGATTGCCATGAATTCAAGGCCAGTCAGCCTGTGCTAAATAATGAGTTTGAGGCTAATTTTAAAAACAAAACAAGGATGTTGAAAACTTACACGAATAGCAATTTTCTGTGTGGGTACCTGTGAGTATGTGCCTGTATCACGGCACTGGCCTGCCACGTACCATGAGACTTTGAATGTGTTGTGTTTTACTTCTTTAATTACATAGGGCTATCATGCGAACTAAAGAAAGTCCTAACGACACTTGAGTGAAGCTGCGTAAAGGCAGTTATGGTGGCACGGAGTAAACTACAAATTGTTCTGTAAACATTATTTCTCGCCTGCTTCCTAAGACTGCTAGGGGAAGGAAGTGAGTTGAGTTTGTAGCCCTTGTGGACACAGTGCTGAAGGCGCCCAGTCACTGCTTGCATCAGAAGGCTGGTGATGGCTTGAGCTGATGACATCATGTGATAAGTACTGTGATATCGAGGTGACAGAAAACTGCGCTCTACAGACAAGATGTGGATGAGCTCTTGGCGGGAAGGGTTGCGGGCTGGGAAGAAATGACCGATTTTCCCTTCCCGTTCCTCACCTCAGCTGGTGGCCCCTGGAACCCTGTGCCGTGAGCAAGTGCGGCAGTGTGACCTCCCCGAGTTCTGCACGGGCAAATCTCCGCACTGCCCCACCAACTTCTACCAGATGGATGGTACCCCCTGCGAGGGCGGCCAGGCCTACTGCTACAACGGCATGTGCCTCACTTACCAGGAGCAGTGCCAGCAGCTCTGGGGACCTGGTAAGGGCCCTCCTGGAGACTGTGTTCTGTCCCACCCACCACCTGTGAGCCAGTCATCCCCACCGGCCGCGTAGCATGGCCTAGCATCTTGGCTTGGGAACCTTCAAATACCACTTACTGCTTCCATCGATTACATTTAATTTTTTTCCACTTACCCTTTGGTCTGAGACGTTTTTACATGACACGGAGTATATGAGTATATAAAAATGGGTATATACAGCAAAAATTTACTGATAAATCACAAAGAATTTATTTTAAAATAATTTTCATATATGATTTTATCAGAGCAAATGGTAATAATAAGCAAACAGGTGTGTGTGTTTGTTTTTAACATAAAGAATTAAATTTTGGCTAAATAGTTGGGAGTGAAGGACATAGAGTGTCTTCATTAGTTTTCAAAGTTGACTGATGTGATTTTATAGTTGTCAATGATGGGAACACCAACCCACATCTATATGTGGTACAAAAATTACAGAAGTATGTTTAGGGCCCTACCAGAAATTGTTGGTCCTGTCCTGACCCCAAATCACGATTCATTCAGTAATTTTTATTTTTATTTTTTGAGACAGGGTCTCACTGTATTGCTTGCTGGCCTGAAACTTACTATATAGCCCAGGCTGGCCTCCACCTCCCTGAGATCTTCCTGTTTCTGCTTTTATCCTGGGATTAAAGGCAGGCACCACACTCAGCTAGTGTTCTGTCGTTGCTGCTGTTTGTTTGTTTTAAAGACGCTCAGGTCAGTGACTCAAGCAGCAATTGTAGAAATCAAACTTCTATCATAATATTGACATTAATCTGGTGTTTATCTGCTGAGGAATGACAGCAGGAAAAACATTAAGTCTTTGTTTTCCTTAATTAACCCATTGCATAAGTGACAACATACATACAGTGAAAACATGGCCATTAATATAAAGCAGCCTCAAGTCTGAGCTGAGGCGTTTCAGTGCCGTTCACTGCTTGTGAGCAATGTACAGGTGTGTTGAAAACCAAAGCCTCAGTGAAGTCACATGATACAATAGAATGAGCTCTGCCACAAACACCTCGGATTTATTACACATTCTGTTTTTAATTAGTTTTTGGCCATTGCACATTCAGAAACTCTATAGTGTTGCCAAATTTTTGAGATCCCCTCTTCCCCTCACATTCAGGTATGGGATTCCATAAACCACCATTTTCAGAAGCTGGAAATAACACTACTTAGAAGCAGCCTCTAATTGTACTTGCTTGTGGATGTGAAGCTGTTTTTAAAGATGTTTATTACACCGCTGCTCATTGTAGCAGCAGCATCCTCTATAGTATGGGCCAATTAAATTTATCCCAGTCAAATTATAGAACCGAATGCCACATGGCTAAATTCTCTATACTGAATGTTATCAACAGACTAAGTAACAGAACAGAAAGAGAAGAGATAATTCTTCCATTCTTTATTGAGATCTCTCAAGAAGATGTGCCAGAACTGAATATAAGGGATGCAGAATATAGAGAAAACAATTTTTTTGTAGAAAACACACTGCTCAAGATTGTTGCTTTTCCATGATATAGGAGAGGGAAACCAGGGTGGGTAGGAAGAAAAATTCCAGATACCTCTTAGCAGTTTAATGTTCAAGGCATGGATTACTAATCATTTATAGTCCAGAAATAGGACAGCCCGTCTTCATTAGCAAGCAGACTTAGCATACAACTGCCATAGATGTAAATCTTTGATGAGGTGTTAAAACCAATCTAAAATATTTTCTCTGAATTGGTCTTGATGAATACGGAAGTGTCGTGATATTGCCTAAGACGAGCCCTGCATCGGGAACCTCCGGCAGGCTTGTGGAGCCTCTGGTGGGCTTATGCACTAACAGGTGTTTCTTGCACACCAAGGAGCCCGCCCTGCCCTCGACCTCTGCTTTGAGAAGGTGAATGCAGCTGGAGACACCTATGGAAACTGTGGCAAGGGCTTGAATGGCAAATACAGGAAGTGCAGCCCCAGGTGAGGACCACAGTGCTGACCCTAGGGAAGGGGGAGTGACCTAGTGATCCCTGCTCTGTCCTTATCACTCCCAGGTAACTTGGTGTGGATGGCCTCATGGCCTCCAACTGGCTTTCAAACAAGTCAGCTAAGGCCTGTATGCTTGATAATGCACTGTTCAGTTGGCCCTGGGAAAGTGAAAAAGAGGAGTGGGTGGCATTGCTTCCTAGGAAGTTGACCACGGTTGCTTTGGGGATTCTCTCTTTAGAGCGGGGCAGGATAGCTGGGCGTGGTGGCTCATGCCTTTATCTCAGCACTTGGGGGTCACAGGGGGGTGTGTAGGTGGATCGCCGTGAGTTTAAGACCAGGCTGCTCTACAAAGCATGTTCCAAGACAGCCAGGACTACACAGAGAGACCCTGTCTTTAAAAAGAAAAGAAAAAAAAAAAAAAAAAGTAAGGCGGGAGATAGATGGCTGCGATCCGAGATGACAAAGTTTCAGCATTGCAACATCACGACTCACAGATGGCCCTTTTGGGCTTTTTTTTTTCTTTCTTTCTTTCCCAGAGTGCTAAAATTATGCCCTTTTCTAAAACCGATCTCTCTGAATCTGTTCATTCCAGCCACCCACTCAGTCATATCTATCCATCCACTCATTTACCCACGACAATTGCAGATTTACCACGTGCAGGATGCTGTATTAAGGGCCCAGAGCAATGTAATAGTTAAGGGCCCGGGGTGTATCCCCCAAGAAGTTCTCTGTCTGAGTTCTGTAGCAGTCATCTAAATGAACAGGGGGAGGAGTCACGCCCGTGTGTAAAGAAGAGCGTTTCGGGCAGAAACGGTAGAGGGAAAACTGACAGTCTGTGGGGAATAAGGGAGAGAGGGCCGTGGGTGATGAGCGTGGAGAGAGGAAAGCAGGATAGATCCTGAGAGGTTTAAATGTACTTCCGGAAGAGTGTGCACTCCCAGGGTCCCTACAGTCAGGGGACTTGGCGTCCTGCAGGTCAGGAGAGGAATGAGGTGGTGACATAAGTCGGGGAAGCTGTGGGAACAAAAGGATGGAAGGTTGACGGGGGTTGCAAATGCTTGACTCCAGGAGCAATGAAGAATGGGGAGTCCGAGTGAGCCCCAGCTCCCAGTTGAAGTGCCTGGGGTGAACGGTTGTGTGATGGGCATAAGGTGACAGTACTCTGGTCATGTCCTTGAAGTTAGGACATCCAAAGTTAAGCTCTTGGCTTAGGTCTTCTGAGAGACAAATGACCTGTCGCCTTTCTGGGTCTGAGTCTACCTCAGGTCTCTACTGCTGGGTGCCAGACCCCTCTCTGGTCCTTCGCCCTACTGACTTGGTGAAGACTGAAGCTCTGCGATGCCCCAGCTCTTTCCCGACTTTAATCCTGTCTTCTCTCCTGGCCCAGAGATGCCAAGTGCGGGAAGATCCAATGTCAGAGCACGCAGTCCCGGCCCCTGGAGTCCAATGCAGTGTCTATTGACACAACCATTACCATGAACGGGAGACGGATTCACTGTCGGGGCACCCACGTCTACCGGGGTCCTGAGGAGGAGGAAGGGGAAGGGGACATGCTCGACCCAGGCCTGGTGATGACTGGGACCAAGTGTGGCCACAACCATGTGAGTTGTCCCCCAAGTCCCTGGCCTCCCTCAGAAACCAAGCATAGACAGAGATTGAGAAGCATAGGCTCTGGAGTAATAGTATCCCACCCAGAGGGGCTCCCCATCGTCGCCCACCTACAGACTATGGATTAGGCAATGGCAGTCATCACTGGCATCCGTATCATTAGCGATCACATGAAACAGAAGTGGTCTAAGGATCAGAGAAACCCATGGAAATTAATACCATAAATCTTACTGTGTTAGTAAAATTATTTAAAAAAATGTAGGAAACCCATGGTATGATGCCCAGCACAGAGTAAGCTCCTGCCACAAGCATTTTTAGACGTAGTGCTAAAATTAGTATATATTTATTGTTGGATAGCATATAATCAACATGATACTAGATTACAAACAAGTCATAATTTTTGAGTGTAATGTCTTAGTATTGCTTGTTTCTTCCCTAACCACAAAGGCGACAGCAGAATTCAGTTACCCACTGTCCTGCCATTTGAGGCTCTTTGTGTTTCTCACTATAATATATAATTCAAAGAGCTATGTTTGGGGGTTCCCATTCATTCTAAGTACAAAACTCCCATGTGTTAAGCCACCCCCATGTTCCTGCTGCTCTGCTGATGGCTGCTCTTCCTGTTGCAGATTTGCTTCGAAGGGCAATGCAGGAACACCTCTTTCTTCGAGACGGAAGGCTGTGGGAAAAAGTGCAACGGTCATGGGGTATGTGTACAGAGGTCTGGGTCCCTGGGTGTTGGCGTCATGGGGGCGTGCCCTGGGGGGGGGTCACAGCCCTCCGGGGCGCTGATATGTCTGCGGCCCCCTTGCTCTAGGTCTGCAACAACAACCAGAACTGTCATTGCTTAGAAGGCTGGGCTCCACCTTTCTGTAACACCCCAGGAGATGGCGGCAGCATTGACAGTGGTCCTTTACCCCCTAAGAGTAAGTGTTCTGCCTTTGTGAGAGAGGAAGAGACCGTGGGGATAGGCGGTTGGCTGGCCGGAGCCTCCAACCTGTTAACATTGCAATATGGCGTATTGGGTCATATTGTCGGGCTGCATTCAGAGTTATGCTGGAATCCATAGGGCCTGGGGATTATAGGTTACTGTTGCAGAGAGTCCATGTTAAGTTGGCTTTATTCTCCTGATTCTATAGCCAAGACACAGAGGCCAGTTGCTCCTATGGAGCCTGAGCTGAACTGCCTTTTTTTCTTTTCTTTCTTTCTTTTTTTTTTTTTTAAGTAGAGGAGGGAGAGATTAATGGAGACTAGGCCATCAGATAGTCACAATTATTTGGGGGAGTAACTAGTAACTCGTCCTTTTAGGGACACTTGAAATAATCACAATGCTGGGGTGCCTTGTACTGGTTATTCTGCCCCTTGTTAAGTAAAGGTTAAAAGGTGGGAAAACAGACAAGTTTCATAGTTCTTAGGGAAAGTCTCTGGGACTCCACTCCTGCGGTTTCCAGATTTTGTCTTTGAATAATGGCAAAAGTACTTAAAACACTCACACACACAGCTAAAGCTGGGAGTGGTAGTTCCTGCCCAGAATCCCAGCACTCAGGAGTTTGAGGCAGGAGAATAGCTGCAACTTTGAGGCCAGTCTGTGCAGCACAGTGAGTTCCAGGCCAATCTGGGCTACACAGTGGGACCCTGTCTTAAAAGACAAAATTAAAGCAGATAAGAAGGAAGAGCCTGACTATGTGAAACAGATTGAGGGGAGCTTCACTGATGCATTTGTACTTTGTATATTTAAATTTACTGATTTGTGGAACTGTTGAGGTGGATTTGGATCCAACTGTGAGGTGTCTGATTTTCTGGTCATTGCTCTGGGTCCAGGAAAATCATGATGCAGGCTAATTTTATGAAAATCTCTTAGCTGGAAGCTAGTGATAAATGACAAATTCTGAACTACTTCTGGGAGAATCGCTGCAGCTGAAGAGAAATGACTGGGGGGTTTTCTATAAAAGCCAATGGGCCTGGCTCTTTAAGCCAGTATTAGCTCCCCAATAGTATATAATGTATGTGTGTTGCTTGTATTTGTGTTTGTTTAAAGTAAGTCCTACAAATACAATGAGAATCAAATATCTGAAGAAGAATTGGGGCTCTATCATTCTGCCGTAGCCTGAACAGCCTCTGATTCTCTCCTTGTGTTGTCTTCTGGCAGGTGTGGGTCCTGTGGTAGCTGGGGTGTTTTCGGCCCTCTTCCTGCTGGCAGTCCTCATGCTGTTTTGCCACTGCTATAGACAGAGCCACAAACTGGGCAAGCCCTCAGCCCTCCCATTCAAGCTTCGGCAACAGTTCAGGTGGGACAGGGTGCTGTGCCCACAAGGACTCGGAGGGTCCCTTCTAGATCATAGAGCCCCTGTTGGGAAGGTTGGTGGGGAAGGGTCTAATTCTGGGAAGATGAAGGCAGGGAACATGCCACCATCACCCCTTCTGTCCTGCTCTGTCACCACGGCAGACGTTATTAGGTAACGGCTGTCAGTGGTATCTACTGAGCCTGGTCATCACTTGTGAGTTGTTCTCAAAAGAAAGTCCTTAGCCAACTCAGATTGGGGTGTGGAGTAACATCTATTGACCATCCTCCATCCAATTAATTTATACCTTATTTCTTGAAGAGCAGGAAGCTGAGGCCATAAAGAAGGGATGACAAGCCATATCAGTCACAGGGTTAACTGGACAATAACCCAAGAAGACAAATGATTAATTCATTGAGATATTGACAGAGCATACTCCCAAGAGACTTGTTAAACGTACTTGTGCTGGGAGGGGTTGTTTGTTTTTTTTTTTTTTTTTTTTCTGCCCTGAGTCTTTCTGGGGCCATTCCTGGGGGTGGGGGAGGGCCTGCTTTGTGCAAGGCTGGTTCCTTCCTTGGGCTTCTCCGCTGGCCAGATGTGTGCTTACTTATTATTTAGGAGATGGGTTTCGGAGGATTACCCAACTTTCTCCAGAAGAGGGTTAATTAGCTTTGTCCGTTGGTCTGGGCCGGAGGAGCTCAATCCACACATACTCTTGATAATCTCCCTCTTCCCTGTCCCCTCTTCTTTGTTTCCAGTTGTCCCTTCAGGGTGTCTCAGAGTGGTGGAACTGGCCATGCCAACCCAACTTTCAAGCTGCAGACGCCGCAGGGCAAGCGAAAGGTAAGGGCATTGCACCGTTGGTTCCGATTGATTTCTCTCCATCCCCGTTAGCCTTTCTGAGAGCTTATGTGTGGCCATGGGGTTGGTAATGAAAGCCATCTTATTGGCTTGGAAGACACGTCAGTTGGTTCCGAAGCCTGGGATCTGACGGTCACCATGTCTGTCCTAGTTTCAAATGTGGTTCTGGTCACCTCATTGGGACACATGCATAGAGAGGATTCCTCATCTCAGCTGTCCTGTGTCTCCTCCACACAGGTAACCAACACCCCTGAAACTCTCCGGAAGCCCTCCCACCCTCCGCCCCGGCCCCCTCCAGACTATTTACACGTTGAATCCCCACCTGCGCCATTGCCAGCACATCTGAACAGGGCTGCCAGGAGCTCCCCAGAAACTGGGGCTCAAGTAGAAAGAAAGGATTCAGCCAGGAGACCTCCCCCAAGCCGGCCTATGCCCCCTGCACCTAACTGCCTACTGTCCCAGGTGAGTGGATTCTCAGCAACTCTGGTCTAGGGACGTAACAGGCCCATAACAGGCCACCTGCAATGAGGAACATTGGAGGCTGGGGTGATGCGCTGGTTGGATTTGACCATCTTTTCTTTTTCTAGTGAATCCAATAGGCTTCCAGAGGTTTAGCAATAAGAGTTAAGAAGTATCTTTGAAGCTTGGCTGTGGTGGTGCACACCTCTGATTCCAGCACTCAGGAGGCAGAGGCAGGCAGATCTCTGTGAGTTCTCCGCCAGCCTGGTCTACAGAGCTAGTTCCAGGACATCGAAGGCTACACAAAGAAACCCTGTCTTGAAAACAACAATAACAATAGGAGTAGTAGTACCGGTATAGTTCCCTAGACAGTCCCTAAACCACATGACGCTTTTGTCCTGTTCAATTTCCACCCACTTTGTACCCCAAATTAAATTCTCTAGTTCCCCGAGCTCTTGTCCTCCCCAGGTCATTGCAGATACTGTTTTTCCACACACACACACACACACACACACACACACACACACACACACTCACACTCACACACACACACACGCACGCACACACCCTTGCTTGGCCAGCTCCTATTCACCCTCAGTTGTGACTTCGGGTAACTCTCCTATCGGGGTTTCTTTCACCTGCTTAGAGCCCTGTACCTCTTTCATCGTACTCATACCTACAAAGCATAGCTACTGGTTAGCTACCACTCACTGAAGACACTTACTGAGGGGTGCACCATGATGCCTCGCTTACCTAAGGGGGGCCCTCTGGGAGGCAACAGGTCTAGACTGTCTCCTTCTCTGTAGCATTTAGCTCTGTAGCTCACAGCTTGGAGCTATCACGCAGTGGCTTATTTGCTTACCATGTCTACTCTGGTATAAGTTCCCCAGTGAAGACCTGGGGGTTTCCTGGGCAGTGGCCCAGCATGGTAGCCTCTGTCTACCATGTTTGCTTTCTTTTGCTGTGGTCCAAAGGGTCCCCAGTGCCCGGGTTTCTCTGATCACAACAACCACAGGGTTCAGCTTCAGGTTTTGGAAGGTCCTGGGGCATGAGGCCCTAGGCAAGGGTTTGGCAGAGATGAGGGGGTCTCATCAGGTTGGGTCCTGTGCTGTGAAACTGCCACTCACAAGTTCCTGGGTGTGGGTGTGGGGTCAGGGTGTGATGTGCATATCCGTGCAGGGGAGAGAGAGACTGCATCTAAAATTTGATGGTGCACACTGAGCATACCCAGACTCATTCCTGCCTAATCACTTTAAACCCCACTCCATGACACTGAGCTATGCATGCCCCGAAATTGCCTGCTCTCATTATCTTCGTAAACTATGACCTTAAAGTGAGCATGCGCAGGGATCCATGCTTTATGAATAGTACGGTCTTGCTGCTTTTGGAGGGGGTGGAATTTAGCAGATCCTCATCAGGTTCTCCTTGCTTGCTGCGAGTTATAAACCCTCCTCTGTACTGTTAAGTCTTGGCTGTGCTGATTCACTCACCAAGAATTAGGTTACAGTATCAGACGGGCTCTGCTGCGAGGCCCAGGGCAGACATTCTGATAACAACCGCCAAGGGCTCACTTGCAGTCTCTCCGCTGCTGCCTACGCCCTGCAGTCTTTCCCCGGAAGGCCTGAGTTCTCTGGTGCAATCGGGGTTCCATTCTGTACCGTCCGCCCGCCAAGATCAGCGTCCCTCCTGTAAGGGGTAGAGCTGACGTGGCTACAGCTTTATGGTCTCGGGCATTTTGACTCCTCTTTCCTGAGCTTCCGTTTTTGCTCTGAGAAGTCATTCGTGTGGGAAAATCAACTCCGCCATCTGTCTGCCTCCCACCCCCTGCACACTCGCCCTGTGCCCATCATGGCGTTCACTAGCGCCCTCTTTGGCCAGTCAAGGAACTGACTTCTCTCAAATCTCACCAGTTTGGAGGCTCAGACTGACCCTTAAATTTTTGTTTTTCCAGTCACAAAAGAAGCACATTTGCTTAAAGAAATTGAGTAGTGGGGCTGGAGAGTTTGCTCAGTGGCTGAAGTACCTGCTGCTCTTGGAGAGGACTAGGGTTCGGTTCCCAGCACCCACATGAGTGATTTCCAAAGGAACTTTTGAACTCTGTGGGAGCCTGAACATACAGGGCATGAACTCACACATACACATAACTAAAAATAATACAAATAACCAGGTGTGATGGTGCATGCATTTAATCCCAGTACTTTGGAGGTCAAAGCAGGTGGATTGCTGTGAGTTCAAGGCCAGCCTGATCTACACGGTGAGCTATAGGATAGCTGGGGCTATGTAGAAAGACCCTGATTCCAAACAGTAACAGCAACAGCAATAATAATTTATACTTTATAAAATTCAAGTAGTAGAGAAATGTGGATCTATTTTGAGAAACTTGACTAAGCTCATTTCTTTATGTTCTTGATGTTGAGTGGTTCCTGATTATTAGCTGCCCCAAAAGCCTGTGATGTCTCCATGAACAGACAGAAAAGGCACCCTGTCCCTGCCTCATCTTTCATTCTCGTCAGAGTTGGCTAGAGAGAGAAAATAAAAGCCTGATAAATTATTTATGTTGGTGGTGATAAAGGATATGAAAAATACACTAATTAAAATAAAATGACTTAATGTTGCCAACCCCCCCCCCACACACCATTCATTTTCATTCTGATTTTCTGAACCATGCACGCCCACCCAGTTAGACCCCAGCCCAGGATAACCTTCTGTGTTAGTTTGCTCTGGCCCCCTTCTAGCTGTTTTCTGTTTCCGATGGCCTGAGGTCTGTTTTTGTATGCACGCTCCTCTGTCAGGTCTGTTTTGGCTTCTTTTGCAGCTGACTGTCCTCATTAGCTCACATTCACCTGCTTTGATCTTTGCACACGCTGTAGCCCATGTCGCTGTATAATTTTACATTTTTCTCTCACCTCGGACATGATGGAAGTTTCTAGGTTCTCTGGTGTTATAAAGAGTGCAGGGGGAACATCTGTGCAAATCAGCCTTGCGCACCTGTGAAAACAGTCTGTAACATGGCCAACAGGAAGTGGGATTTTCACATCAGAAAATGACCCTTTCAATTTTTTTTTTTTAATTTTGATATAGGGCTTTGAATTTGTATTAATCTACCTGCTTTGCTTCCTGAGTGCTGGGATTAAAAGTGTGCGCTATCATGCCATACCCATATCTCTAATTTTAATAGATATAGCCAACTTGTTTTTCAAAAAGGTCTTTTTTTTTTTCTTAGCATGTAAATACAGTAATATCCCCACAAACAGGCTAGCCCTTTAAACATGGAACCATCCGGTATGTAAGTTATTTTGGTTTTGATCCATAAGATATTAGGCATATTTTCTTTCTAAAGGAGCCCCCCAAGTGAGACTTCTTGCTTCCTCCAGGATTTCTCCAGGCCGCGGCCACCCCAGAAGGCACTCCCAGCAAACCCTGTGCCGGGCCACAGGACGGCTCCCAGGCCAGGAGGTGCCTCCCTGCTTCAGCCGCCTACTGCTGGTCCTCATCCTCCCCGGCCTCCAGCAGTGTCTGTTCCAAAGGTGAGTCCGCAGAAGGACCCAGAAGTACCAGAGGTGAGATGCGTGGCTGAGAGGGCAGTTTGCGCTCTCGTGGTCCCAGCTGAGCTTTGAGAAAAGAAGCGAAAACAAACCCTTAGCCTTGCTGGGAGGTCTGTTTGGCTGTACCTTTTGTGAGCAGAGGGCGATTCAGCCTTGAGAATGAAGGTATCACACAAAAGCCTGAGCTCTGGCGGCTTCTTGGTACCTGAACAGCAAGGTCACCCTGAGCGAGTCCTTGCCTTAATAAGAAGGCTTAAGATGGGCCAGCAAGGTGGTTCAATGGGAAAGGTAATTTTTAAAAGGGCATCAGAAACAGCAGGGACCCAGCTCCATAATGTTGCTGTGAAGGTCAAAGCCATTAGTTTATATAAGCCTGTGGGTATATGTCCCTTTCCTTAATGCTTCTCTCTAGCTCCCATGTTCAGCTTAGTTTGGGGGGGTGATTGGGTCAGAAGGGGTGAGGCAAGAAAGCTGGCTGCCAGCCCCATTTTTCCACAAAGCACTGGGAAGCTATTGTCCTGAAGCTTGGCGAAAGACAGGAAGGGGTGACTTTCCAGCTTTGGGGGTGGCACGCACTTGTTCTCACTGCAAGGGCTGATGGCCTCACGAAGCAGCCACAGGGACAGACTTCTGAAGACCATGCTTCTGTTCCTGATTGTCACAAGCACAAGGACAGTTGCCCGAAGTCCCTCTGGCCAGCACTGAGATCACGTCTCTCCCTTCCTCTTTCTTTCTTTCCAGCTTCCTGAGTATAGGTCACAGAGGATTGGAGGCATGACTAGCTCCAAGATCTAAAACTGTCTACAAGTTTCTTGTCTCGCTTGAAGACTCCAGATGCCGTGGAAAGTCCAGAGGAAAGAAGCCAGCTTGGCCATCTTGAAGCTTCTGCAGCCTTCTGGAGCCCCCTCATCCCCAGAATCTTCCTTTCTGCCCTAGTGCCTCCTGCTTCCTCTGAGGCCCAGATGGACTTCTATCCGATGGCTTTCAAATGTTGACCTGTGCAATATGCAGCCCGGGTAGGAAAGGGGAGCATATGGAGCAGGATGGGGGAAGATTCTCCCTCAGCCTACTAGCCAAGAGCTACCAACAACAGTCAGGGAAGTCTGAAGCTGGGGTCCTCCCTCTGTGCCGAGCGTGGAGACGGCCTCCTCCCGGGTCCCGCGGTGGCAGGTACACACAACAGCTTCCATTGAATGGCCTCCCCCTGGGATCCCAGGCTGCACAGAGGCTGGGACTGAGGAAGCCACTGCTGCATCTCCCCACCCCGACCCCAGGGCTTGGTCGAGGTGCATGTGACAAGCCATGCTCCCCAGTCCCTGCCACTCTTCACATTCTCCTTCTCATATTTACACGGGTCGCTCTCTGACTCAGACAGGTACTATTTGCAGGCAGCGTAGACAGCAGGGGGGGATAGTCGGCCTGTGCCCCCTCTGAGCCGTGATGCCAAAGGTTGCTAGGACTTTTAGAATCCCTGGTGTCCCATGTGTCACCTTCTCCTCCCCTCATCGCCTCCCTGTCCTATGGTGCTTTGGTGGTGAACCGTGACAGTCCTGACTTGCTGGTGACTGCGTGCTTGTGATCTGCAAATCAGAATCCTGCCTCACCGGGTAGCCACTGGACTTCCTGCACTGGATCTCAAGAGCATTGAGTGGAGTGAGCGTGTGTGTGTGTGTGTGTGTGTGTGTGTGTGTGTGTAAGAGAGAGAGACAGACAGACAGACAGACAGACAGCTCTGCATGTTATTGTATTTTATAGCCTCAAGCAGGATAAGGGGCCTCCTCCTTATTTCTGACCCACATCTAAATAAGTTTCTCCAGGGTAGCCACAGGTATACTGAGGGGGACAGGCATGTTTGGAACCCTAGCCATTAAAAAAGTATGCCCAGGGGCACCAGCCCCTCTCTAGTGGTCAGCTCTGAGGTAGGACTGTTGACTATGAATGGATTACCAACCTCTTTGGAAGCTCTCAACAGCCATGGTGAACCAGATCTGGCCAGGGGTCCACCAGCTCTCTTCAACCAGGATGAAATTCACTTCCATTGGTTCTCTTCACCCGTATGTAATCCTCATGGAAAGAGCTCTGGGGAGGTGGGGATGGGACTTGGTGCTCTGTAGTTAGAACAGTTCTTACATATTTGCTGGACCTGGCCTCTGAGAGGCCATCTTTCACCCCCCAAAAGGTGCTGATAGCACTGCAGAGGGTCCTCTAGGGGCCTTCCCACCACCCACAGTTGTTAGCTCTTGGAACCTTCTAGAGGAAGAGGCGAGTTTTTGACTCCCTTCTTACCACCTCAGGCCTTCTTATAGCTCTTCACAGCGTAAGCTCTTGGGATTGGAGACAAGCGGGAGATGTAGAGTGCGTGGCTGGGGGAAGAAAGATCTCAGGAAAACACCTTTCTCCTCCTCAGGGTGACTGTGATGTTCACACTTTGACTCCCTGAGCCATGATCCAAAAGGTTACCTGGTCCATTTCCTACCATCAACATTCCATTTATGTGTTTCCACAAATGCCAGTGAATACAGGCTAGGTCCTGAAGACAGTGACCATCCTGACCCTCACCACAAAGTTAGAAAACGCGCCACTTCTCTAAAACCCAACCCCATATGTCCTGGATGTCATTGTGGGCGGCATGGCCTTTGTCCCTCCACTCTGGGGGCAGGTGGTTCTGCGTGACAGTGCCACAGAAACAGTGACAACATAGGCTTTCTGAAATGCAAGTCTTCTGTCTCTTGAACAATACCAAAAAGAGACCCATTTCCTTGCTCTTTGGTAATCACTTTTTTTTTTTTCATTTTCATTACTTTGATACCACCTCCATCCCATAATGTTATACTGTGAACTAGAAGATGGCAGAAATTTTTAATTTGGGAGGGATGTTGGCAGCTACTCTCCTTACAACTTGATTCCTGGCATTCATTTCCAAAGGGTCAGGGAAGCTGCCATAGGGAGGCCCCCATTCCCTTGTGCACTGTGAAGTGTCCCATAGAGATATAGAAAGACTTCAAGGGCAGAGTTTTTCCCAAAAGGATTGTCACTTGGGAGGGAAAAAAGAATATTACCACAGGGAAAGGAGGGGTTAGTTGCAACAGAACACTTGGGTCAATGTACATCAAGTCTGTGGGGGGCATCGAGGCTGAAAAGGCCTTTTCCTATGCATTGAAAGTGAACAAGACTAGAAATGACTGTTGGGGGCATCTCTGGGCCCACCCACTGTTGAGATGTTAGTAGACAATGCGGTAGGTCAAAGCCAAAGCTCCAGTGGGCTGAGGGAAAGTTCAATTCATAGCTGGGTTTAGTGACATGCCCCTTCAGTCCCAACAGAGGCAGGTGGATCTCTGAGTTTGAAGCTAGGCCGGTCTTAAAAAAAAAGGGGGGGAGTTCCAGGACAGCCAGGGCTACTCAGAGGAAACCGTTTCCACAAAAACAAATAAAAATTAAGACAGTGTCTTTTATATCCCAGGTTGGCTTTCAACTCACTAAAAAGTCAAGGATGACCTTTGAACTCCTGAGTGCTTTGCTTCTTCTTGAATGCTAAGACTGCAGGTGGTTTATGTGGTCCTGGGTTCAAACCCAGGTGTTCATACGTATATAAGCAAACGCTCTAGCAGCTGAGCTACGTCCCCAGCCCAGGCTGTAACTGTCTTTAGAAGCTAAATTGGCTGCCTGACCTAAAGCCATTTCTGGCCTGTAAACCGAAGGTCCTCATCTCTAGAAGAGGTTTAGCCTGCGCTGCTTCCTTCCAAATTGCAACTTCCCACTTGCATTCTGTCCATTTTAGCCTTGGTGACTTCCACAGGTAAGAGAGAAGCCCCTTTCTCCCCTTGCTTCAAGACGTTGTAGACATTAGGATCTATATTCTCTGCGATGCAACAGGTCCCTGCCACTCCGCAGTAAACCTTCTCCAAAGTGTCTCCCCTAGGCTCAGTTAATTTGCTTATTAGACAAAGAGGGTGTGAGACTTGTATTCTTAAAATTGGAGGCTAGGTCTAAAGCTAGTCATTTTGTCAAATGCATGTAATCACAGCCCCAAACGACTCCTCCACACACAAGCCAGGGAACACCAACTGGAAAGGTACCCCTTCCCCTGGGAAGCCTGCTAGCCCAGCACCCCAATGTCATACTCCCAGTGTCCTCTTCTACGACTGTGTGTACGTCTACGTCTGGGATCCAGGGCAAATGTGAATTTTCTTTTTATTTGGGAGATTGTTCACAGGAAATAGTCCTGTCCTCTCTTGTCCTCCTATTGATTGTTTACAATATTTGTACATCTATGCAAAATACTTGAATGGGCCATGGTGCCTTGTTTGGTTTTTTGGGTTTTTTTTTTCTTCTTGTTTGTATTTAATTAAAAGAAGTTGTCATTAGGAAAAGCTACCTGTTTGGACAGTTCTTTTGTGTGTGTGTGTGTGTGCTGTTTCTGTGTCCCACTGCTTGGACCACTTAAGTCATATGACATGTGAGTTTCTCAGAAAGAGTTCCCACAGAGAAAAACAATCTTTCCAGTAGGCCACAGTGAAGCCCCAGGGTTTCCCATGGCCAGGAGAGAGGGCTGCCTCCTTCGTGTCTGTGCAGGGCATGGTCTAGCATCATTAGATCTTGGCTCATCAAAGGCTTTAATGGTCTTCAGATTCTAGTGTGTTCTTCTACATGTTGTCTTTAGAAGACAGATGAGACGCTCTGTTATCACCTCCCTTTGCTAGCAGTATGCTTTGATGAAGGGGAGAGACCTACCAAGGGTATCCTGGGCTGGGTGGGCAGGAGCAGGAAGGCCAGGTTTCGTGTACTTCAGATTCCCTGGGCCTGTGTGAAAACCTCACATACTGCCTGTGCCTCTCACCGTCATACTCATTTACCCCCAACCTCAGTTTTGCAGTTTTCTAAGATTAACCACAGGAAGTTTACTGTGGTGGTCTGAATCTGAATGACGATGGCCTCCCATGGAGAGGCATTTATTAGAGGTGTGGCCTTGTTGGAGGACAGGTGTTACTGGGCTTTGAGGTTTCAGAAGCTCAAGCCAGGCCCTGTGTCTCTCTCTTCCTGCTGCCTGTGGATTCAGATGTAGAACTCTCAACTAGTCTCCAGAACCATGTCTGCCTGCGTGCATGGTCCCACCATGAAGATAATGGACTAAACCTCCGAACTGTAACCCAGCTCCAATTAAATGTTTCTCTTATAAGAGTTGCTGTGGTCGTGGTGCCGCTTCACAACAATGAAACCCTAAGACAGTCACCTCACTGAACCCTCCCACAAATGCTAGAAAAAGCTTCCTTTCTATATCACCTGGTGCCTAGGAGACAGGTGTTTACAATGGAGCAGTGATCTCCAGAAACATTCATTCCAACAGCAACCTTCCCCACTTGAGTGAAGGCAGATTTGTGAAAAACACAGGGCAGCTTGGGCCTGGCATTTTGGTGATCAGGGACTGGCCTCCCAGCACGTGAGAGAAACCAGTGGAGTGTATTTGCTCTGTGTTCAAGGAAGATCAGCACATTTGTCAAGTAAACACACTCTGAAGGCTTTATTCTCGACCCCAGAGCCCACGCTCTCAAGACCTCCAGTTTACTGCTACTCCCAAGATCCAATGTGTTGCATTGATTTCAGTTACAGTCAGAAATCCACATTCATTAAGACCCTGGGGATTGGAGGTGGAAGGTACAGAGTGTTGATCTTCCCTAAGAGCTTGCCCAAAGCCAGAAACAGTTTGGCCAGGGTGTGGTTGTATTTAGGGGATCAGATGTGAACAAACATAGGCAGGGAGCTTGCCAGTGTTACCTGCACTGAAGATCAAGTCTCCCCTCTTTCCCACAGACTGGCTCCTAACTTTACTCTCTATGGTCCTTGTGCCAAGCCCATTCTCTCTCCAGCTGCTCTTCTGTCCATGCCTCTGGCTAAATGTGAGGTCACCAAAGGTAGGCCTCAGAGCAGGTGATGGTGGAGGATTCACAGCACACTGTTTCCAGTGTGGGCAGCTAGGTTGTCATTGGAGATAGATTCAGTCCCAGCCGGGTTAACAAGGCTGTGCCAAGCCTGAACTCCCACTTGGTCACTGAGATTCAAAGCCAATTCTACTAGCTATAGCTCAGAAATGTCTCCACTCCTTTTTGAGGGGATGGAGTGAGGGGATGGTTTGGGTTCTTGCTTGGGACTGAATCAGGCCAAAAGTTACTTCCAGGTTTCCGGAGAGCCCATGAATCCCTTCAGAAAACCATGACATTGTGTCTCATACTCTCCCCCACCTCCCCAAGTCATGTTGTGGTCAACTTCTTGACACAAAGGAAGTTGCATTCTGCTAAATTCCAGCATGACAGCACAGTGCCGTTTTCTTCCCAGAGAAGGCTAGGTGACCATCAGAGCTGGACTAGGAAGCATTCCTGTGCTGTTGAGTTCTAAAGTTACAGCCTGCATGTTTCAGTGAGTGGTGACTTGGACAGAGAGAGGGAGGCCTGGTGGTGCCACTGGAGGCCCGGGCAGCAAGATGTGACCTCCAGTTGCTCTGCTTGGAGCATAGGCCAGTTGAAACTTCCCTGAGACATCAGGTGGTATTCACAGTAAGAAGGTCAGCCAGGGTCTTGCTTCTGTCTCTAAGGAACACCAGGCTACTTGGCACCTGCTATGCACTTTGGCACTGCGCAGCATACAGATGGCTCTGTAGTCCTCTTGCAAGCCTCATTCTTGAGCTAAGGACTTAGAAGTCCAGCTGGACAGGCCAAGTGGCATGAAGGGTTTCCTGATGACCAATATCTGAGGGCGATTCTTGAACTGGGCTACATTCATCAGGTCAAACTCTTATCTTCTCCCTAACAACATATGGATGGTGCTGAGGGAACCAGAGGGAAGAGGCTCTGGGGACTTGCTGGCTTCAACAGAAACTGGTGGATTTAGTCACCAAGGCTGTATCTCTAGGAAGTCCTGCCACCTACCTTACAAGGTAGGGATTTTTTTTTTCTTCTAGGAACAGCAGTGAGGTATAAATAAATATCTCAAAAAAAGATAGCCCTCGGCAAGAGATGTGCTGAAAGTAACCAGGAAGTTTTGAACTTGAGAGGTCAGGCTAGACCATTGGGTGTCTCCTCTTGCTCACATCTTCCAGGCTTTAAGAATGGATCATGAATACTTTGGGCTTCTGTTGTGGTGATGGTGTGCTGGCAAGTTCTATGTTGTCCACAAGGACATTCTTGTCTTCCAGTTTAATGACCGTGGGCTCTGGGGCAGGAGCTGGAGTTGTGTTTTTATGCGTGTGTGGCAAGCTGATTTGGTTGATGTCCAAATCTTTGAAAGCATGAAGCATAAAAACACCCAAGATGATGGTGACGAAGCCAGACAGTGTGCCCACAATATCCACAGCAGTCATAGTGTACCACTCCTTGAAGAGGACGATGGAGGAGGTCACTACCACCGTGGTGAAGAAAACATAGTAGATGGGGAAGACCAGTGAGGTGTTAAAAATATCCAGTGCTCTGTTGAGGAAGTTGACCTGAATGATGATAGAAAGTCCCAGGATGAGGGACAGGATATAGGGGAGGGGGTGCCGGACAACTGGTAAGCCTTGGAAGAAGTTCCTAATGGTGACACCCAGCCCCTTGACAGCAGTCACAGAGAAGGATCCGATCACAGAGCAAATGATGATGTAAATGAGGATATTCCTTTGTCCATAACGTGGGGCGACAATGAAGATGAGGATGAGGCAAGACACCACCAGAAGAACAGCAAATATGACGAACCCTTCAGAGAGGACGGACATAAATTACTCAGTGAAGGACACAAACAGTATCTAGGGCCCCGGACTTATGGTCAGACACGTGTGAGTTCTAGTCCCAGTTTCAGACCCTTTAATAACTCATGCAGGTTATTAAACTATTAAAACCTTAATTTCCTCATTTGTAAACAGGACCCAAAGTAGCATTTTCCCCTTTTAGAGCTGGGTTATGAGATAATGCATAGTCTTGCATAAAATGTTTTTATAATAAAAATAATGTGCGTTTAGAGACGTGCCTGGCACACAATGAACAATAAGTGGTATGTATTTATGTCAATCCAGGAAGCCTTGCTGACGAGTACCACCCAACTTCCTTTCTGCTGTCCACCTTTTCCTCAAGGGGGCAGCATGGAGATGGACAGAGCTCAACAAGGCATTCTACACATAATTCATTTGCTCATGCTTTCCACAAACCCAGTGCTTGAAGCCTACCTGTGTCTTTCATCTTGGAAGCCATCTCTGTGACAGTAGTGACCTTCTCCTCCTTGGGGGCATGTATGACCATCACTGTGCTGCCAGCCATACAGATCACACAGCCCAGCTTCCCCAGTAGATTCAGGCACTCTCCCAGACAGTAGGAGGAGAAGATGGCACTGTATAGGGGCATGGGAGAAAGGGATTGAAGGGCGGTGCCTATCCAAGCCCCTGAAAGACATGTGGGGGCTGAGCAAGCACATACGGGGAACAACAGTCCAGAACTTACTCCTCTCTGCAGAAGCCTTCCAAGATTCATCCCCTCTAACCCCAAAACTTTAAAAAGTAGAAACATGTTTCTAGGGGATTTTACTGTATGCTGGAAGAGCAGAAACACATGTATATCCTCTATATTTTTGAAATGGAAACCATCCCCAAACCAAAGGTTCCTGGCTGGTTTATTGTCAACTTGACACAAACTAGAGGCATCTGAGAAGAGGTGACCTCGGCTGAGCAAAGGCTCTCATGAGATTGGCCTGTGGGGCATTTTCTTGATTGATGATTGACGCAGGTGAGCCGTGGCCAATGCCACCCCTGGGCAAGGTGGTCCTGGGGTGTACAAGAAAGCGAACTGAGCAAGCCAAGAGGAGCAGCCTCCCATGTGGCTTCTGCCTTAGTTTCTGCCTCTGTGTTCCTGACTTGAGTTTCCGCCTTGGCTTCCCTCTGTGATGGATTTATTTGCAAGCCCAATAAATCCTTTGCCCTCCAAGTTGCTTTTGGACATGGTGTCTCATCACAGCCATAAAAAACAGACTAAGATAGGTTCAGAGAGCCTTTCAAACTACTCCTGTCTGACTTCCTGCTAGCTGACCATAGTGTCTTGCGGTATTGCTAGGAGATGTTTTTCAACCATGGCTTGTATACATCTGACAGCAGTGAACACGCCAAGGAATACACTGCAGGTCCACGCTATTGACTCACCCCGAATGCATTTTCTGGCAATTTCTATTCCTTGCTCCATGTCTGTTCCTTGGGTCATAGAAAACGAACCTATTTCCCTTTCATTTGCATATGCTAATATAAATCACCCCAATCATAATTATAGACACTATGTTTTGGGGCATGTATTTCCTAATAGGCAATGTGTCAGAGTTAATCTGACAACTCTGTGAATTAACATATACCACTCCCAGTTTACAGATGAGAAAATTGAGCTCATAGAAGTTAAAATGACTCAGCAAAGTCCTTTGACTGGTAAGTGGCAAAGGCAGGTTTTGAATGATACTTTGATCTTATTGAAAACTAATAGATTTTCCTCTACATTAAAGAGAAACTTTATGCTTTCCAGAGTGGTTATTGAGCAAGATACTTCCAGCTCCTTCGTGAAATGACTTCTGTTCCTTCTGATCTTCTAAGTAAGGGAAGAAAATGGGGAACTGTGCAGGCTGGAAATAAGTCATGAGCTCACTTGCATTATAAAGGCGGGATTATTTCACACTAAAAATGTATTGGCTGCCTTGGGACCTAGGTAGCATCACGAAGTCTTGGCCTGTAGGCAAGCTTACGGGCCATTTTCTTGATTGATAATTGATGAGCTCGTGGTGGGCAGTGCCATCCCAGGTGGTCCTGGGACATATAAGAAAGCAAACTGAGCAAGCCAGGAGAAGCAAGCCCCTAACTATTTTACTTACAGTGTCCTATCTGACACACTCTTATGGCTACTTAGGCAGGCAGGGCCTAACAGTGGAGAATCCCAGGCCTCTGAAAACATCCCAGGGGTGGGAATTTGTAAACATCAGATTTGGAAAGCACTTCTCAGCAGTGACGCCAGTCAGGCCAGTTGTGCACTGAGAGTGAGGAAGCTACTTGCTTCACAACTGCCATCAAGTAGAAAACCAACACAGAAGAGATTTATGGGTGCCAGGTGTGGTTGGCTGGGCTTTACCAGACAGCACCCCTCAGAGGTGGCTTGAGTTGCCCCACAGAGGTCCCTATGTTCACAGCTTGGGAGGAATGGGGGTGATAAGAAACATAAATTCTTAGGATCTCTTGTTTTGTTGTATTATTAGTTTTGGTTGTTTGGGGATGTTAGGAGTCAAACCCAGACATACCACATGAGCGCCCTAGTCCTTCATCACCAACTCTAACATCCTAAATTTTTAAAACCGTTGTTTGCAAAGCATTTACTGAGAGGTAACATGGCATAGCATGGCTGCTAATACGTGGGTCCTGGAATTCTAACTGCGTCCTGGAATTCTACTGCAAAGAGTGGATCCCGACCTGGCAAACAGGATTTTGATATTGACATATACAAGCGGAAGAAGGTTTGTTCTACCACCCAAGGAACAGAAATGGGTCAAGAAGTAGAAATTACTGGAAAGTTACCTTGGCCAAAGTGCTTCACCTCCCTGGAGCTTTGGCACAAACGTAAGGATTAAGTGAGTTAGTATACAGATTACGTTCAGATGCTTTAATGCATAACTTTCCTCTGTCAATTGTAGCCACAGTTTCTTGGAGCTAGTTTGTTCTACATCCATTTTATGTGTTACGGAATTTAATTCTCCAGGTGTGTGTTATTAGCATTCTATTTTGCATACGGATGAATTAAGGCTTGACTAATAGAATTGTAACTACTAAGGTTTGAGTTTAGTACTTGGGGAGTGTTGGGGGCTGGGGAGCTGGCAAGCATGAGGACCTGAGTTCAAATCCCCAGCACCCACCTAAAAACTAGGTGTGGTGATATGTGCCTATAATCCTAGGGTTGGGGAGCTCTAGCCTAACCAACTGGTGAGCTCCAGGCAATGAGAGGCATTGTCTAAGAAATAAGGTGGAGACTAATTAAGAAAGACAATGTGTTCTGACCTCTGACCTCCACAGGCTATATACAAAGACGTGTGCATCAGTATACCACAACCCTACACACTCACATATAAACACACTCACATAGTCACACACACTATAAACAAAAGAACACTAGGGCCATTTTCTTAGTTCATCGAAGGGATGCTGAGGCCCATGTCAGCCAGCAGTCCAAGGGCCTGGTGCTCTGAATAGCAGGTTCTCTCTTTCCAAGGCTTAGACTGGCTTGGGGTCCTAAATGCCAAAGATAGCTGCTCCCACTTTGATAAATCCAGGTCTCAACAGACTCAAAACAGGAAAGAGCCAGAGCTGTGAAAAGAGGGGACAGTGACCTTATGAGGACGCTCAGTGCTCCCAGCGGTGTGACAACTGTCGCAGGCGCAAATGCATAGGCCCCGAAGTTGGCAACTTCTCCAGCAGACACTAGGAAATTAGAGGAGAAAAGAGGCCAGTGTGACTCCAAGGCATCACGTCCATTCCAGATGAATCTGGGCAGAGATGGCTTCAGTCAGTGTTCAACTGTACCTAAAACCCAAGACCAGCACTCCTTAAGATCCTATCCGGATGCTGTGTCCTCAGAGATAAGGTCAGATCCAGACTCTGAGTTCTCCCACTGTAAAGATGGCAAGGCCACAGTCCTGAGCTCACAGTGACCTGAGAAGCTGCCATGTTTTGTGTGTCCTTTAGCCTTCAGTCCACACTCAGTTAAGTGTGCCTGACAGGCTGTTAGATTTCCTCTTTATCCTTAAAGTAAGTTCTAGAAAATCCGTTATTAAATAAAGAAATAGTTACAGTTATGGATTCTTTGGGTACTGCTTGGTCCATGGACTATTTTTTACTATGGGAATGCAGTCAGTTGTGTTTCTTAGTTGTTATTGTTGTTGTTTGGTTGCTGCTGTTTTAATCAATTTGACACAAGCTACAGTCATCTGAGAAGGAGGAAAATGCCCCTATCAGATTGGCCTGGAGGCAAGCCTGTTGGGGCAAGTGTTTCTGGGGTTTATAAGAACATAAACTGAGCGAGCTAAGAGAAATAAGCCAATAAACAACACTCCTCCATGGCCTCTGCTTCAGTTTTTGTCTGAGTTCCTGCCTTGGCTTCCCCCTGAGATAGGCAATAATTTATAAGCCAAACAAACCTTTTTCTCCCTGAGTTGCTTTGAGTTAGTGTTCTAACCACAACAATAAAAACCAAACTAAGGCAATAGTCTAAGACACAAGGCTTAGAATAGACCGAATTACCAAGGAGCCAAAAATACTTTCCATCAGCTGCGTGTGGTAGCACACACCTTTGATCCCAATACCCAGGGAGGCAGAGGCAGACAGATCTCTGTGAGTTTGAGGCCAGCCTGATTTACACAGAGAGATCCTGTCTCAAAAAAAAAAAAAAAAAAAAAAGTCCATCTTGCTTACAAGAACCTTTTCCATCTCTTTTTTTGAAGAGAGTAGCCAGGGCCTCCTGTGTGCAGGCAAATCATCAGTAGTATCACTCTGCCCAAGGTGAGAACAAACCCAACTTGGAAAATTATTGGTAGAAAGTGTTAGTTTCCACCAAAAAGAATTGGTCTTTGTGGACTATAGAGAGGGATCAGTGGTTAAGATCATTCACTATGCAAGCAAGGGGACCTGAGTTCAAATCCTTGGTACCCATGTAAACTCCAGTCATGGCCGAGGGTTCCTGTAGCTCCGGCATGGTGTGGTGAAGACATGTGGATCCTGCAAGCTTATTGGCCAGCCAGCCTAGCAAAAATGGTGAACTGCAGGTTCAGTGAGAAACCCTCCTTCCAGAACTAAAGTGGAAAGTGTTAGAGGAAGACACTGGACAGCCTCCTCTCGTCTTTGCACGTACATGTGTGGGCAGAAGCATCCTCCTCCCGACACATGTGTGCATCTCTCTCTCACACACACAAATAATAACAACAACAAATAATAATAACAATGTAAAACAAATAATTAGGCTCTGATAGCCAAAAAGGGTAAGTAGTCAGTAAGGCCAATTTGTGAGTGTGCAAATCTAGATAAGGTAGCAGAACAATCATGTTGAAAGTGAGTCAGGCTCTTAATTGTTATGGCATAGGGAAGTTGCTTTAGGTTCCCAAGGTCTACCAGATAGAGGCCCAAGACTGTGGCCAAGAGGAAGTGCTGCCAGTGTCCTGTATTTCAGTGGCAGCTGGAAGAACACACTTGTATCCATTAAAAAAAAAAAAATTGAAACACGGTTTCCTGTATCCCAGCCTGGCCTTCAACTTGCTGTGAAATTGAGGGTGACCTTGAACTTCTGCTCCTCCTGCCTCCACCTCTGTAGTGCTGGGGTTACAGGCATGTTCTACCATTCCTGTTTTATGTGGTGTTTGGGAGTGAACCTGGGGCTCCTATGCATCCTACGCAAGTGCTCTCCCGACTCTCTGCACCTGTACTATTATCTTCATAGAAGAGGCCGCCTTATTTTGGGCTGAGAAAGTGATCGCTGAAAGTAAGATGGCTACAAGGAGAAGGTTTTCCCAAGGAAGCTGGCCTTGGGCTTTCAGTGTCCATAACAGAGACAGGACACATTCAATCTGCCCTTCCCTTCATCTCCATCCCAGCAATCAGTAAGTCACTATTTTTAGAAGTGAAAGAAGCCACTTACTGGTAGCAAATCCAGCCCACCACATTGGATCCTTCAGGTAGCCATAGCCTCCATTCACTATAGAAGGAAACAGACACAAAATTAGAAGCTGGTGATACTTTGGGGGGTTCTGCTTTGACTCCCATAGCTGCCCCTCAGAACTTGCTTCTTAGCATCTATATCCAGTGGCCCCATTTTGTGTCTGTGGTTTGGACTTGTCTTTTGAATCCAGCCGTGTGACTAACTAATCATTTGGCTTCTCGCATCTTTTACAGATAACCCAATCTCTGGCCTAAATATGACTCTTGTCTTAATTTTAGCTTTGCTACTTGCTAAATGAAACTCAGTAAACGAAACTTTCAGAAACCAGAGGCCCTTTTTCTCCCCTCCTGTATCTAGTCTGTATGGCTGGTTCTGTTGCCACCTCCTCCTCCATCATGTCTGGCCAGGAGAAAGCAATGGCCTTGTTATGACATACCGTGGTTCTACACTTATCCCGGTACCAAGTTGTTTCTTGCATGGCAGCCAGTAGTTTTGAAAAATGCAGATCAAATTGTGCTGCTTTTCTTCCTGTCTTCCCGTACCTTACAATTACTTTTGAGACAAAGCCCCAACTCTTACGGAGACAAGTTGAGGCTGGGTCCTGCCCACCTTCGCAAACACCCCTGCTACACTCTTCATAGTCTTCAAGAATGATTAGCTCTTTGATGCCCAGGACCTTTGCCTATGTTTCTCCCTGTGTACAGAACTTCTATCCTTTAGTGTTTGCTGCCTGAATTCACTCCCACTCTGTAGGTCTCTGCTGCTTCCCAGAGGTGCCAAGTCTGCCTTTCATTTCTATTACTTCCCCTTTAGACGGCCATTCTCCTTCATGGTTCTTATCACTTGATATCACATATCATCTGCTTATCCTTGGCTGTTTTCCCCTACTGCAGTAGAAGCATCCGGAACGGTGTGTGCTCTGTTCAGGGCCCACAGCACAACCCAAGATTAACAGTATTAGAAGCCACAGTGATAACAATGGTAGTAGAAAGATCTGACACCAGCTGGGAGTGGTGGTGTCCCAGCACTCAGGGAGGCAGAGGCAGGTGGATTTCTGTGAGTTTGAGGCCAGCCTATCTAGAAAGAGTTCAGGACAGCCAAGGCTACACAGAGAAACCCTGTCTTGAAAAACACCCTATGTTAAACGAATTTTTCCCTGAGAGCTGTCTGCTCAGAAGACTGTGAAATAGTCAACTGGGGTGGGGTAGATCCTAGGGAAGCTATCTCGGTTGGTGAAGCACACTTGCTCTCTTCTCCAAAGAGCACAGCAGACTTTTCCTCAAGGTCTGCCAAACACTTGTCTAGAATGAAGGATGGGCAGCAATGGTCCTTGTCCCAATTTATTGCTGCATCTCCCAGTTTTTTTCCCCTTGTCTTTTCTTCCTTGAGACAGAGTCTATTATGTCCAAGCTAGCCTCAAACTCCATATGTAGTCAAGGATAACCCTGAATTTTTTATTTTCCTGCTTCTACCTCTCAATTATGTAGATTACAGGTATGTGCTATACCTGTTTTTATGTGATGCTAAGATGGTACCCAAAGTTATCGCTCTGCCAACTGAGCTATATCGCAAGCCCAGATATCCATTTTGGAATACACATGATCCAGGCACTAGAACTAATTCTGTGGGGCATGACTCTTTCTAAAGAAGTTACAGCTGAGCATCTTTAGTCTAAAACACCACAAACTAAAATACCTCAAGAATGCCAGTCTTTTTGAATGCAGACACTTGAAATAGACTTGAATGACCCTTGAAATAGAAAAACCCTATACCATTCAACTCATTTTCATGAACAAGGTTATTAACCAGCCATGTAAAATGACCTTCAGTTCTTTGTGAAAGGTAAACAGGAGACACAGTGAATTTCCTTTCAGACTTGAGTCCCATCTTCAAGATATTTCATGCCTATGGAACTATCCCCCAAGTAGGAATAACAAATCTGAAATCCCAACACTTTTGTTTCCGAGCATTTTACATACACCAGACTCACTTGAACATGGCTTCTGAGTAACTATTGAGACCCTGTTCTTCTCCTTCCTTTTCATTTCTCAAAGGTGGTGATCCAGCCTAGAACCCCACACACACTAGACAAGCATTCTCCCACTGAACTGTTGAGCCACACTCCCCACCTCACTTTTCTTTAAAGAGGGGATCTCACTATGCAGGTTAGAAAGATCCCGTCCAGAACTCACTCTGTAGCCTAGGCTGGCTTTGATCTCATGATCCTTCTGTCTCCATCTCTGCTGGGATGGTATGCCGGTTACTGTTTTGTCAACTTGAAATGCTCAAATAATCTGGGAACAGCGACCTTCAGTAGTGGAATTTTGCCTCCAACAGATTGGTCTGTGGGCAAGTCTGTGGAGCATTTTCTTGACTGACATTTGATATGGGAGCCCCGCCCACTATAGCTGATACTATTTCTGGGAAGGTGGTCCTGGGTTATATGAAAAAAAAAAAAGGAGGAGGGGGCAGGCTGAGCTAGCCCTGAGGAGCAAACCAGTAAACAGCCTGTCCCATGGCCTCTGCTTCAGTTCTTTCAGGTCCCTGCCTTGAGTTCCTGCACAACTTCCCTCTAGGATGGACTGTTTCCTCCCTGAGTTGCGTTTGCTCATAGTGTTTATCACAGAAATAAAATGTAAACTAGGACAGGAAGCATGCACCATCATGCCTGCCAAAGTGGTACTGTTCTTGGCCTATTTCATAGATGAGGAAATTGGGGAATATAGAAACACATTTCTTGCCTAAACCTCCACTAACAGCAGTCAAGAAGCCACAATTGTAAATTGTAATGGTCTGCTTCCAAAGCACAGTGCCTCATGGGACAGAGTTAGGCAATGAACAGGTCCAAGCATGAACATGTCATCTTCCCCAAACCTGTTTCTCCCTCTGCATGCATTGCAGAACACCACACCATCATCTTCCCTGTTGCTCAAGTCAGAAACCTGAGTCATCCTTGGCTTCTCTCAACCCTCCCCTGGCATCCAGAAAACATCAAAGCTATGAGTTCCATCTCCCCAAACTATCTCTGGAATCCACAGCGTGTCTCCACATCATTGGCCTCACACACTTTCTACTCTGGGACTCCAATCCATTTTCTACCTAACAACCAGGGATCTTTTCCAAATCATAAATGAGACTGTCACTCCCCAGCCTAAAACATTCAAACTCTGTAGCCAAGTGTACAGGCCCCTGCTGAGCTGGCCCTTAGCTCTCCCTGTATTCTCTGGTTATCCTGAACGGCCCTCAGTTCCACATCCAGCTAGGACTCGCATCTGAGCCTGGGTACTTGCTCCTCCTTCCACCACTGAATCATCCTCTTTCTCCTTTCCCCGCTGGCTCCTCATCACTAGGTCTCAGTGTAAGAACCAACGTCTACAGAAAACTTTCCTTCTGCACCCAGATCTGAACCTTACATATTCCAAAATAGTCTCATAGCAACCTGTATCTTCCCCATGAAGACACTCAGCACCACCGAGGGACCATTTCCTGTTGGCTGTCTGTCTCTCCCACTTGACCAGATGTACCACAGGGACTCTCTGTCCCCAGGTCCCACACTGCACCTGGTACACGGCAGGCATGCAATAATGGTGTGGGTTCAGTAAACGATGTGCATTTCTTTACGTGGGATTTCCTTTCTTGAAGATTATTTCAGAAAATCACATCACATCCAAGCTTCCAAATGAGCAAGACTCGGTGCTCATGCCGAAATTTGGCTGGATGCGCAAGGGCCCCTGGGAATCTGACGTGACGTAGGCTGAGTCTTTTGTGATTCCGTTTCACAGGAGAAGTTGTGACTTCCAGCTAGTGGCAGTGGCAGTTTGCAGCGGGGCTGACAATGAACCTCAGTGCCCACCTGAGATGCCATCCTCAGATTACAGCCTGAGAAGGGAAGTCATCCACCAAGGGCTTAGCTGCCCCTCACCCATCCCCACCTGCCCGTGGAGCCTACCTGCCCTCGTGGCCCCCGTGGCCACAAGTCGAATGAGGCCCTTCTTCTTAAGGATGACACTGCTGCCAATGAGGAAGCAGGAGAGGAAGGCGAGGCCCACACCGATGTAGAAGCCATACTTCTTCCTGACCCTCTCTTGCCAAGTGATTGAGGTGGCATTGCTGGGCTCTTCAGGGCTGATACCTCTCACGATCTGACAGAGGACCTCTTGGGAGGAGCAGTAGAGGCTGACTATGGAACCTGGTGGGAAGAGCATGAGAAGAGCCTTGCTGAGGACATAGCATGGCTCAAATATACTGCTGACTTAAACTTCATGTTTCTACTGTTCCAGAGCTCCACCACACACACACCAGAACACAACCAAAAAAAGGAAAAAAGAAAAAGTCTATTTCCAATCTTTTATGCTTTTAGCTGTTTTCTCACCAAGGACTTTATTTGAATGGACTTAGCAAATTGTAGAAACTCCTGTCAAACAGGCGACTTCTTTCTTGTTTTTCAATAATTAATTAACTTATTTACTTTATGTCCAGACTGGAGCTTCCTTATTCTCCTCTCCTCCCAGTCCCTCCTTCTCACCTTATCTATCCCCATAGCCCCCTTTCTCCTCAGGGAAGGGAAGACCTCCCCTGGATATTAACCAGCCTTGGTATATTAAGTGGCGGTAGGATTAGGTGCATCTTCTTCTGTTGAGGCTAGATAAGGCCTCCCAGTTAGTGGAAGGAGATCGTAAGGCAGGCAACAGAGTCAGAGCCCCTGGTCCTGCTGTTAGGGGTGTCACATGAAGACCAAGCTGCACATCTGTTATAACTATGTAGGGGGCCCAGGTCCGTCCCATGCATGCTCTCTGGTTGGTGGTTCAGCCTCTGTGAGCCGCTGTGGGCCCAGGTTAATTGATTCTGTACGAAGAGACTTCTTTAATCCCTATTCCACAGACAAAGAAATAGAGCCTGTGAAGATGTGGTACTTGCTCAAGGACACAAAGATTGTGAGGTGGTTTTAATGTCAGCTTGCTGTGAATTAGAATCACCTAAGAAGAGAAATTCACCTGAGGACTTGTCCTGCTTGTCTTAACTGACGTGGGAAGCCCACCCCAAATGTGGGCAGCTTCTTCAGGTGGCAGCCCAGGTGAAGAGGGCACGGCAAAAGGAAGATTACTTTCCTTTTGCTCACCTCGCCCTCCCCTCTTGACTGGAGTTAATATGCCCGGCTTCTCCTATAGCTGATTTCTCCCCTGATGACAGAACCAGCATCCCTGGGATTCTGTCATCCCGTGAGCACCAGCTGCTTTCTCGGAACCCTCCAGGAGTTGAGCAGCTGATCAGGACAGGTGAGGCACCAGCCTCATGGACAGAGCAACTCACGGGTTCTCAGGCTCTCCGGCTCTCCAGTGTGAGATGGCCATTGTAGAAGTACCATGACTTCTGAGGCACCCAGCCTCGAGGACCAAGTAACTACCTAGTTCTTAACCTCTGAGGGACAAGACAACTGTCATTACTACTGCAAAATAAACTGGTTTAACATATTCTTGTAATATGTATTTATTCTCTAAAGAACCTTGACTACTAAATACACAGATTGTCTGGCTTCAGAATTCCAGCCTGTGGTACTGATGCCTCCCACAAAAGGTAGGGGCTCAGCTAAGTTCTCAGCCATCATTGCATTCATCCCAGTGTCCACCATGGGGATTCCCTCTCAGCCTCTGGATTTTTGCTTTCCAGTAACTCATGAGCTTCCCTGGGGGCTTCTTCACCTTTATGCCCCTCTAGCTAGAGTGGGAAAGTCACTGGGCAGATAGTTCATCCAGACCCTGGTCAACCTGAAGGTAACTGAAAAGTGGGCTTCCAATGGGTAGGACCTCACCATTCCAGGACTTATTTTTGGGCCACCGGTTGGGGACCCTTTCAGGGCATAATTGGGTTAATGCTCCCGCCATCCCGTAAGGCTGTCTCACCAGTTTGCTTTTCTTGTCTGATTCTTTCCTCAAGTCCCAGAGCTAGCCTCTGACCTGTCTGTCTCACTGTCACAGACAACAAGGGCAGTCTCAGGAACAAAGGGCTGACCCTCAGTGAAACACAAACCTATACAAGTCCAGTGAAACATAGGAAAACGTGAGCAAGATTCTACCAGTGCCACAAAGCACATGGCCTCTGTTCTAGAGTTTTACTTGAGGAACCTTAACCATTCAACGAAACAGTCACAATGACCATTTCCATGTCCTTAGTAGAAGAACTTGAATTCAATGATCTTCTTAAAGAGGTATCTATAATCAAGGTGTGTGTAAGGCCCTACCAATCTGATTCTGTCCGATCTGTAATAAAGGTGAAGCCAAAAGTAGAGCCCAGACTCACGTGATGGCCAAGTCTATGTTCAGAACCATCACACTCTGATAAACAGGTTGCCCCATGGGGCGGCAATGTGGGGGAGCCATCTTCATTGTGCCCTCTGCATTCAGTCATAAACCTGTTGCAAATAGCCAGAAGTGGGGAGTTTTCCTAGGAGCATTCAGACTTGGGGTTGCGCTTGAAGCTCAGAAGGATGGTTTATCTCTCTGGTCATGCCTTGTAGGTGGTAGCAGCTGGATCACTCTCAGACAGAGCTGCCCCTGAAATTCCTCAGTTTGCCCAGCTCCACAATTATTTGCTATTGGCCTTTCCAGGTGTTTCAGGATATGGTCTCCAGCATGTATCACAAAGGTCTGAACTTCAAAGCCATAGATCTGAGCCTAGAAGAGGACCCTCTCAGACCAAGCTGGAGTTCCTACTCTATGCCTACATGGGCCCAAATCCAAGGCCAGGGAGCTTGAGATTTGACACACCTGCATCAGAGTAGCATCTTGGTGGAGCAGAATAAGGGTAAAGTTGACCTTTTGAACATGGCCCAGAGCTGTGGAGGACAGGTAGAAAAGCCCTTTAGAAAAAAACAAAAACAAAAACAAAAAAAACCCAGCTGGTCTAAAATGTATCTCAGTAGCAGATGTGTCTCAACTACCAGCACTTGCCTGAATGAGCAAGGCCATAAATTCAACCCAGGTACCAGAAGGGCAGAAAAAAAAAGGAGGAATTCATTTAAAAAAAAATAGGGGGAGGAAGGACAGCAGAAAGTGGAGGGGGAGCAAATATGAGTAAGGCACAATTATCTATGGGTACGGAACTGTCATAGCAAAATCCTCTATTCCGCATGCTGAGTAAAAACAGCAATAAAATGGAAAACAACAACAACAGAACAGAACAGCCAGTCTGACCCTCTACTATTCTTCTGGGCAAACCAAGGTCCCATAAAGAGAATAGATTTGCCAGAGTTGAGACTGAAATCCAGCAGGAAATATCTGTGAGTCTTTTGCTATGAGACAGCTGTCTTTCCACCATTGGATGATGAGACAAGAAGTCATCATCTCAGGGCCTAACCAGACTGGTTCTACACTGCTCAATCCTGTTCCACCAGCTCGGGGCATCCTTGCCCAAGAGCCTCATCCTGGGAGTTCCCTGAGCCCAGGAAATGCAGGCAGTAAGCCAGAGTCTGCTGGCTCACCTTTGCCCTGCTTCATCAAGTCTCCCTGCTACTGGGTGGACCCAGAAGGCTCATGGCAGCCAGCACCCCTGAGCTCAGCACATCTGTGGAAGTCAAATTCTCATCAGTCCAGTGAAGAGCTAAAGAGCGAGCTGATGGTCAAAAGGAACCCAGTTCAGAGTGGGTGCACGCCTGGAAAATGGGTACCAGGTGGATAATACTTGTCTTTTCTCTAAAATGGTGTAGAACTAGGAATGCCTGCTACCTTGAGATAAGGGGTGAGGCTGAAAAAGGCCTGCCTGGTTGCTCAGGAGACTGAGGCCAGGCGACACCTAAGAGCACTGCCCTGAAGAAGGGCAGAAGTTAGGGACCTTCGGGCTGCATCTCCAATACAGGAGGAAAATGGAGAAAGTTCCAGACTGAACAGCGAACAGCAGCTGCAGAGGTTCAGGTGTCTGAATCCAGGACGTGGTTCATATTCCCTACTGTGGTTCCTGGGGCAAATTATTAGGCCTGCCAGAGCCTTTATTTATTTATCTCTAGAATGGGTATAGTGAAATTACAACTATCTGCCCTAAGGATGAAGGCCAGTGTTAGCCTGCTTTCCTAGCATGCTCAAGGCCCTGGGTTCAGTTTCCAACACTGCAGTAAAGAGAAAGAAAAAAAAGAACACAAAGGGGAGAACTTAGCTCACAAAGTTGTCCTCTGACCTGTATAACCTCAGGATTGCACTCATGCCCATAAATACAGATCATGCATATCTCACACACACACACCAAGCATATCACACACACACACACACACACACACACACACACACACACACACACACAGGTATGCACCTACTCATGCACACTAGCAAAAAATACATTTAAAAAATAAAATCCATGCCCAATGGCACACACTTGTATTCCCCGGCTGAGGGGGACCGAGGCAGGAGGATCCCACATTTGAAGCTATTCTGGACAATTTAGCAAGCCTCTGTCTAAATACAACAACAGCAAAGTAAAGATAGAACAACTGCCTGCATATTAGAGTTTGCTTCCGGGATTAAATGGGATAGCTCAGGGAAGAAAGAAGGTCTACCTAGTTAAGAACGCTCCAGAAAAATCAAGGGTCTTTCCCAAGCATTGCCTGAGGCTCTTTCTCTCCTTCTTCAAAAAGTGTGTGGATTTGGAACGGGGAGCTTCTCTGTTCCTTTGCTCGCTGGTTTGGGTGGCTAGGAAAGATTATGTGAGCAGGTATCAAAGCCTGCAGCGACACAGCGCTTCTCCTGAATTCTCTACCCCACCCCTTTGGCGGGCCACCTTGCCACAGTGCGCGCTGTTTTCCTCTCAGTCTGCTCAGCTCCACGCAGCTGCCACCGGGGAGGTGACATCTCCGCCAGACCCGGATCTTTAGGACAGTTTGGGAACCGGGAGGGAATCTGATGCTGACCTCCCCCCTCCCCAGTTTTTCGGGCCCCAGCAAGTGAGGGCGAGGCAAGGTGAGGAGCGCCCGCCCAGGTCCTCGCACAGCCGCACGCACGCACCGTTCTCGCAGCTGCCGTTGAAGTTGGCGACCCGCAGCTCCATGAGGGCCTGGGCTGAGGGCGCCCGAGGTCCGCGGCTCCTGGGCAGGTGGCCGTGACTTGTCCTAGCGTGGATCGGGCACGGGGAGCTGCTGGGGTCGGGACCCAGGGGTGGGGAGAGTGACGTGCTCCAGAGGGGAGGGTCCCCGGGGAGGAGTCACCCTGAGCCTTGGGCAATACCAGGCGCTGGGGAATCAACTCCGGGACAGAGGCTCTCGTGCCCTTCTGGGGTGCGACCGCAGCTGGGTGCCAGCCGCGGAGTCATCGGCCCGTGCCAGGGGCAAGAGAGAGGGGGCGGGTCCCCTGTGCCTGCCTTTCCAGGACGCTAGCACTCACATCTAGCTTCCTTGGTGGCAGAGTTGATGCACTCCAGGATGGCACAGAGGAAGCCACTTTGGGAGGTGGAAGTGTCAAGGAAAGGTCTGAGAACCTGTTTCTACCCCTCCTTATCCTCCTCTTCTGTCTTTGTCATGGCATTACTTACAGGTCTGATCTGCGCTGTGCACTGTGGGTGACAGGAGTCCTTAGATGTTCAATACATACTGTGTCTTATCAATGATGGCAGGGGATTGGTCAGGCTGAATGGAAGGAGGAAATGAAGTGCTAATCTTTCCTTATATAGTCCTGGGAGGAACAAATTAGGACCAATCATTTAGAAGCAGATGTTTTCCCAAATCACTGTTTATAAGTTTTACACATAAACTATAAAATTATAAAAACATACCTGTTTATATAATACAAGTTGTGATTGAATGGCTATATGTAAAAGTGATGGAATATGTGGATATATATATATATATATATATATATATATATATATATAGTGATGGAATGTATATGTATGTACATATATATATATATGAGATGTATGTATGTATATTAGTTAGCTTGTTTATGGTAATTATTCATAATAGATGTACATATAAAATCATCACATTGTATATCTGAAATACATACAGCTTTCTTACACTTATTTTTTGTGTGTGTGTGTGAGAGAGAGAGAGAGAGAGAAAGAGAGAGAAAGAGAGAGAAAGAGAGAGAAAGAGAGAGAGTATACATGCCATGGCACTCAAGAGGAAGTCAGAGGACAACTTCCTTTCCACTATATCCCTAGAGATCCAATTCAGGTTAGCAGGCTTGTGGCTTTACCCACTGAGCCATCTAGCCAACCCTTCAGTTTTTATTTGTCAAAAATACCTCAACACAGCTATAATAATGATGACGACAACGATGGTAATGGTGATGATAATGATAAAAATAAAATCGCAAAAAGTATTGACTCTGAGGGTGACAGTAAAACGGATTCAGAAGAAACCTGACCTGAAGCCTGAAAACACTGGGCAGGCAGCATTCTTCTAAGTCCTGACAAAATCCAGCTTGCCTAATCCCCATGTCAACCATGTGGGGTACGAACCTGTACTATCCACAGACAGCACACCCAGCATAGTGAACAGGTAGCTTGTCCTGGATCTCAGCTAGGAACAAAGAGAAACAGGATGAGGCCCATAGGTTCCCACAAAGACTGAACCGCTAACTAGCGAGCATGCATGGGACTGACCTGGGCCTTCTGCACATATCTAACAGTTATGTCGGTTGGTCTTCATGTGGGACTCCTAGCAGCAGGAACAGGAGCTGTCTCTGACTCTGTGGCCTGCCTCTGGGTCACCTTCCCCATCCTGGGCTGCCTTGTCTAGCCTTGATGGGAGAAGATGCTTACTGCAACTTGATATGCCAAGGCTGGTTGATAACCACTTTTCTGAAGAGAGAGGAGGAGTGGACGTGGTGGTGCTGGTGGTAGGGAGGTGGGGGGATGGACAGGAGAGGACTGGGAGGAAAGGAGGGAGGGGAAACTGTGGTTGGGGTATAAACTAATTAACTAAAAACAAAAGAGAGAACCAGGATGAAACTCATGATGTCAGCAGCCACACTAAGCCACCTGGCACCTGAGACTGAAATGAACAGCAGGAGCTGGGGCAATAGGTCAGCTCTGGCAGTGAGGTCATCTTTGGATACCCATTGTCCACGGGTTTTTACCTCACTGAGCTTCCAATGAGGTGGGCTCCCTTTCTAGTCCATGTGAGGAGGGAGATGAGGACAGCGCCTACTGGGCTCCCAACCCTGATCCTCACATTTACCCCACCCCACACCATCTTGCTTGTGGCTTCCTCTCTGGCCACTGAAGGATGATTTCTCCAGCCATGTGCCTTCCTCTAACCTCTTGGGTTAGCCTCCTGCTTTCCATAAGGATCAGTTCCCTTACTGTGCAGTACCCCAGCTTCTTGTTTGTCCTTTCTCTGTGTTCGAACTGCCATCGGAGGGAGGGTCATGCAGAGGCTGGAGGAGAAAGGGCAGTCACAGGCACTGCAGGAAGAAGCCATGGGTCCCATGTGCCACCTCACCCTCAAGGTGTGTGAAGCCCAAACAGCGTTGAGTGTCTTTAAGACCAATGTGTATGGGAACGCTGAGCAAGAAACTGGAACAACTGGCCTGGGGAGGAAACTATCAAATGATCTGATCGTGCTGCCCCAGAGAGAAGAACTGACGTGAGAATGTTTCTCTTCTTGAACTTCAGCATTTCTGCAGTACACATGGGCTGGAACACTGGCCGTGGCACAGCCCCAAACCCTCCTCACATTCAGATTCAATCACTTGTGTTCTAAGGACAGGGGCAAGCACATACCAATGGTTTCCCTCTGGTTAGATTTTTAAAAATTGATTCCAATTGTGTGGAGGTATTATTGAATAAAAAGTTCATGTGTGCACACGTGTGTGGGCGTGCATGTCTGTGTGCGTTTGTGTGTGGGTGCTCTCATCCGTTCAGGAGGATAGAGGTCCACATCTGGTGTCTTCCTCAGTCAGCTCCCCACCTGCCTTATTTTTTCAGCCAGAGTCTCTCCCTGAACCTTGCCGCTTGCTGGTTCTGTTTCTCTGACTAGCCAGCAGACTCCCAGTAATCCTTTCATCTCTGCTCTTCCTTCCTCCCACCAATGCCAGGCTGCCAGGCAAGCACTGGCACACATGGCATTTTTACGTGGATGTGGAGAATCCAAACTCAAGTGTGCATGCTTGCATAGCAAACACTGTGCCCACCGAGACAGCTCCTCAGCCCCAGATTGCATGGACTTAAGGAATGCAATTGATGATTTGATTGGAGCATACAATGTCAGAGATTACTGCAATTAAGCTACTTAATATATACACTCCACATTGGGGTGTGTGTGTGAGTGACAGTGTGTGTGTGTGAGAGAGAGAGAGAGAGAGTGTGTGTGTTGGGAAAATGTTTGTGTTAAGAACATGTAAGATCTCGTGGCTTTTCTCAGTAGCCTTTAAAAAAGCACAACAAAGTATACTTAAATTATTCTTGCCATTGCTGTGCCCAGATGTGAAGAGAATGACAGACATATGTATTCTTAAATATATTTAGTTTTGCTGGGTGTAGTGACATACACATGTGATCCCAGCACTTGGGGAGGCAGAGGCAAGTGGGTCTCTGTGAGTTTGAAACCAGTCTGGTCTACAAAGCAAGTCCAGGACAACCAAGTCTACATGGAGAAACCCTGTCTCAAGGGGGTCGGGGAGGCTGAGCGAGAGAAAAGAAAACAAAATACATTTAGTTTTATATGGATTTGCCTTTTGAGGAGCTACTATCTTGGAAGAACCTAGCTAGACGTCCTTTTGCCTGGGCTGGAGGGCACTACTGAGTCTGTCCAGTGCTTCGAAAGGATTTCCCAGTCTCAGGTAAAGTTTGCATTTTAAACTGCAGTTTGAGGGTGAGAGGGCTGAGACCCATAGTAGGCCCATACCCATACCCATACCCTCTGAGGCCTCAGGCTCCCCATCTGCTCCAGGAGGGGGCAGGGCCTCTCAAGGCTGGCATCAGGGCATCTTATCAGGACACACATAAAGGGCCCTATTGAACTGCAGGCTCCTCGGCTGCCGTCCTGACAAAGCCCTTTTCTGCTGAGCCACAATGGCTCTGTCAGGCAGGTAGCAGGGCCTGCAGCATTGTCTCCCCCGTCAAGAACAACAGGGCTCACTGTTTGACCCAGCCTTGGTCTCCATGGGGCGGGTGGGTGCTTTGAAAGAGTCTAACCAGCTAGGGACAGATGGGCTCTGTCCTTAGGCAACCAGGGACTGGTAAGCTAGCCATAAATCTTTTGGCCAGTTATTTAAGAATGAGCATTAAAAAAAAAAAATTGTTAAAACCTTGACTTTTCTAAGCTTATGTCCAAGGGTTGGTACTAAAGATCTTCACAGATGGAGGTAGTGGCCACTGGCCATGTGTGCCTAATAAAAGCTCTTGACAAGCAGCCAATCCGAGCAGGGGTTTGTTACAAGCACTAAATGGCTTCTGTTAAGATTTTGGAACAGCCAATCCTTTGATGTAGGGGTCTTTCCTGTGCACTGTAAGTTGGTTGGCAGTATCTGGCTTCTACTGTCAGGTTACCAAGAACATACCCATGTCTCCACCTTCAGCCCTCAGTTTTAATAACCCCCAAACACCTCAAGATAAACTACCAGATCACCTTGAATTAAGAACCACTAAGATTTCAGAGAGCAAATGAGATGATAGTATGAGGACTCCATTAAAATGAGAAAAATAAGTATTCAATTTATTTCCTATTACTCTACTTCCTTTGATGTTTTATAAAATACAGCACCTACAACTGTTTAAAGTTGCTTTAGTGGCTTATGGTGTGTTTCTATTGGACAGGGTTGTTACAGATGCAAACTCTGGGCCACAGAGGGAAAGTGACCAGTGGAAGGTAATAGAGAGAAAGAGCCAGAGATCAAGTCAGATCTCCAGACTGGCACTCCAGACTGTCTCCGCTACTCCACACCCGTCACAATGAAAAGATGTTCCTAGATGTCCTTTGTTGGGGTGTTTTCCTTTGTTGGGGTCAAATAACAGCTCAGGAGGAATAGAGACAAGAGTACAGTTAATGCTACTTATATGCTTGCTAAATGTCATGTGTGTGCCCCTTTCATCTTTGCAATTACCTTGGAAGAGGGTTCTGTGTGTAGCTCCATTTTTCAGG